TTTAAAAGAATAGCAGTGTCCAGACAACAACTATAAAGATAAGGGCACAGATATTATTAGAATCACTTTCAAAACTCCCTAAACAAAACATTATCGTGCTTTGTGTGGATGCTAATATAGTTTTCATATTAGCATTATAGTCATATTAGCATATATAGCATTATAGTAGTTATCTTTCTTGGCGTGAACAGTTCTTTAGTTTATTCAGCCGTTCACGGCCGTGGGAAACCGAACTGCTCTGTTTGATATTACAGTCCACATATGGGGCCTGAAGTGGGGGAAGGATTCGTTCTGTCTTTGTTTGGTCTAATAAAGCTTTCTATTTATTCTCATAACTTCTGAGATAAGCTATGGCAAACAGAGAGGCTGGTGTCCGGGGATTTTTTGAATGAAGAGTCCCTGTTGATAGAGTGATTTAGGCCACAAATGAGCTTAATTTATCCAGGACACCACTGTCTGGGTTTAACAGCTCCCATTTTGACTTTATCCAAAACTTAATGCATTTCATCTCTGATCCAGCTTTCACTATTTGATTTAATCAAAACTCTTGATCAGGGGTTTTTTAAATGGCGGTCCAGGGTCCTCCAGAGGGACGCAAGGGGGAACTATAGGGGGTCCACAGAAAATTTCAGGATTTGATCATAAGGGGATCTTTCGCATCAAAAAGTTTGAAAATCTTGCACTAAATCATTGAGGCTTTTGTAATATTGCCTCAGGTGTGATTTTATATCATAGAGCTCTGTACAAAACCAATGCTTCATGTAGTCTAGTTTCAGTGGAACCAATAGTGTTTACCAATGCTGGATCTATGAACACACACACACACACACACACACACAATGATTACTTAAACAAAACAAACAGTTCACCACAGGATTCTGCATTCTTAGCAGCTCCCTGGTACAAATTCGAGGGTGAAAGTCCTGTGAACTGGCCTGAGAAACTGACCCTGTTTGTGGACATTGCAGTCTCTAAGAATCCAGGTAGAATGTGGATACCTATTCTTATTCAACACCAGCAACATAAGAAGAAGACTACACAGAATGATCAACAATGAGAGTCATCAAAGCCAGGTCCAATAAAACTTTTTTAAATAAAATAAAATAAACACAAAAGAAGAATCTATGAGCAATATAAATCAGTATAATTATACACAAACAGACATATATATATATATATATATATATATATATATATATATATATATATATATATATATATATATATATATATATATATATATATATATATATATATATATATGTATTTATATATGAAGACCTCCGATGCAAAATCCTCTAAAAGCCACCTCTGTCAAAAATGAGATAATAATATTGAGTGAATGCTCTCTGCACATAGTATACGTTCATCAAATACTTTCACTTAAAACTCACTATCCCAGCCTCAGCCCATTCAGAAATTCCGGTACTTGGATAGAAACCTATAGGAGCCTGATAAAATGTTAATATTAAACACCAACTTTAGACAGACTTAGAGGCTTTTGCATCTCAAGTCTTCATATATAAATATAAATATAAATATATAGCTGTAAATTTAAAAGTAATGTTACTTTGCTAGTTACTTGGGAAAAGTAATCTGATTATGTAACTTGCGTTAGGCTACTTGTAATGCGTTTCTTATCACAAGAATAAATTACATGTTAAAATATATTAAAGTTCCTACAAATGGTAATAATGTTTCATCAAGAAAATGTAGACTTGGTGAGCATAAGACACTTCAAATATATTTAAAAAATCTTACTGACTCCAAACTTTTGAACGGTAGTGTATCTACACTGTACATACTGTGCATATTTTTGGTTGCAATCAACTGATAATCAATAATGAGAGCTTAATGAATAAATAATGGTTGCAGTCAGAATGTTAGTTGGAATTATTGACATCCTAATTTCTTCATTTACTTGGAGCAAAATGCGTTTGAGTTTCACCATTTACATGGCAGTTATGGCCAGTACAGAGATCAGAGAAAGTTGGGAGAGGCAGAAAGGAGGAAGATGGAGGGGAGAGAGGGGGTTTAAGATGGAGCAGGTAGACAAAGCCTGCATTCATGGACACAGTGAAGGAATGAAAAACATTCTCCACCAAGAGACGCATGGTCATCAGTAGGGCATGGGTTAGGGTTGCGTGCATGTGCGTTTGGATGTGTGTGTGCCAACACGAAAGGATATAATACGAGGGGAAGGGGTGTTTGATCTAATGATAAGTGGGTGTAATTTTACTCCAGGCTCTGGTTAAAAGGAGCCATCGCTTCAAAATCTACCAGCTGTAGTGGAGCTGGTCAGAGGAAAAGAGTAGGCTAGGGAGAATGTCAAATTGCATGGGTAAAATGAAAAACTTCAATTTTTTTAGTGTGAGTATGTGTTGGTAAGTGTGTGACCGGTCCCCAAAGACAACAGTACAATGGCCCACACAGCCTCTGTGGAATGCATTCAATCAGAGTTCACAGGCAATTCTGTCAGTGTAGAACTTAAAAAAAGAACACCCTTCACTTATTTTTATGCTTTTCCACAAACTGAACAAATTAAGACTGTAAATAAACCCCCAAGTGTAACTGAAAGGATAATGTCTGATCTGGCATTTGGCTGTGGGAAGGTGAGGTTAGTCAGTATGTTGGACTCGACTGATTCTCCGTATCCGTTTATAGAGGTGAGTTGGTGCGGTCTGCCCCCTACAGGCAAAAAGGGATATTAACAGCGCTCCTGGTTGGATGGGGGACGCAAAAGTATGTAGGCTACTGCCAGCCCAGCTGCCACAGAATCCTCGTTTTAGTCTAGTCAGATCATATGGACGTTATGAGCAATTCAACATATAAATACATTCAAACGTGCAAATTCACAAACATTATAAATACTGAACTGTTTTATACGGAAAAGATCCACTGACACAGTCTACATCAGAGCTGGACTTGAACTGCGTAGTTACACCAAAGTCCACCAGGGGGAGCCACAAAAGTGCAAAGCCGATTCAGTTCTCAGATCTGTAACGGATACAGATACTCATCACTTACAGGCTATATGAGCTCATAAAATGGTTGCTTGCGAGTAACCGCAAAGGCTCAAATGTGTAAAAATTACAAGCAAAGTTGACTTAACTGAATTCAGTCTGACACCCTCCTTGTCCGATCTGACCAGAGCAAAGGGGTCACCTATATATCCTTTGACCCAAATCGAAGGTTGACCATGAGCCATGCTGAACCAATTCTCTGAAATGATGTCTCAGGTCTATAATGTCAGTAGTATGATCAGGGCCTTCCTGACATGAAAATAACCGGGAATGTCATCAGACCCTTTGATGAGGTGAGCCGACCATGGTCCACTATTATATAAGCGACTGTCGGGCATGGGGGGCCTGCTACTATGAATTTAAGTAGGCTAACAGAGTAGGAGTATGACGATGATAGCAACTTTTTCAACCCAGCAAATTTTTACAAGAATTTTACATATGTCATCAGTGGTGGAAATTTTTATTTTTTAAATGAAATTTATAATTAAATAAAAATAAAACGCATTTTGTGACATTCATTGTATTTTTCCATCCTAATTGTAAACAGTGAAGCATCAACATTACAAAACTGTGAGTTTACAGGAAAGTAGTATAAACGTATAAATACTGGACAATACAAACCTTTAAAAAATCCTTTTCTTTCTGACCAGCAATTCTAGCTAGAACTTGATTTCTAAGTTTCTGTATTTTCTACGTAACAGCAAATTGTAGAACCAAAGTGCAGTTTTGTTCCCAAACATAAAACAAAGGCAAGGCATGAAACTCAAAACATAGCGTTTGCCACCAGTGATTACACGAAACAATACTTGACCAGAAACAAGGCAAACATGAGGGCTTAAATACACAAGGACTAATGACAAGACAAGGGACACCTGTGCACTGAAACAATGAACCAATGACAACATGACAACACAGAACACATGGCAGGATCACATGACTAAAACAGGGGATCACATGACAGATATGACACAAGAACATGAAACAAAACAAAAATGTGACAGATGCATAGCTGAATTTTCATCAGCCATTTCGTCAGTCTTCAGTGTCACATGATCCTTTAGAAATCATTCTAATATGCTGATTTGATACTCAATTATCATCAATGTTGGAAACAGTTATGCTGCCTAATATTTTTTGACCTGTGATACTTTTTTCAGGATTCATTGATGAATAAAAAGTTAAAAGAACAGCATTTTAAACTATATTCAAATAGAAAACCATTATTTTAAATGGCAATAATATTTCACAATAATACTGTTTTTTTTTTGTTTGTTTTTTATCAAAGGCTTGATGAGCATTAGAGACTTCTTTCAAAAACATTAAAAATAGAAATGTTTCCAAACTTTTGAATTGTACTGCAAGTGTGTGTGTGTGTGTGTGTGTGTGTGTGTGTGTGTGTGTGTGTGTGTGTGTGTGTGTGTGTGTGTGTGTGTCTGTGTGTGTGTGTGTGTGTGTGTGTGTGTGCGTGTGTGTGTGTGTGTGTGTGTGTGTGTGTGTGTGTGTGTGTGTGTGTGTGTGTGTTTGTGTTTATTGTAAATATCGATGTAATATCAACCCCTAATACATTTATTTCTACAATTTTAATAACTGAATGGTAACTGAATGTGAATCAATCAGTTATTAATTCAAAATGTTTTGCCACTGGTCACAATGTTTACATGTATTGTGATCATGTGATTTATGTGAATAAGACCTTAATAGGCCCTTTATAGCTACCTCTTTATAGACCCTTCAAGCTCAAAAGTAAACTTTGGTCTCAAATATTATCGGTGGGATTCAATGGGTTAATATTTATTTCTGATTTTGTGCCTTCCGATTAAGTGGCAAAATGTCCATGCTCAGTAAGTCTGACCTTCTTTGTACAGTTCTACTATTGAGCCATCTACATGTGTTCTGGCATCCACCAATGATCTATCTCTTTTTTTGCCCCACCGCCACAGCCGCCAGGAGGCGTGTCCTCACCTGCGTATGATCCCTCGGTTGCCGGCCAATTTTGTCAACAGAAGTCACTACCTTACCTCGTGGGACGACCAGGCACTTGGAATCCAATAGAAAGCACGGGATACATAAGCATACGAGACACGCGTAGTGTATTCAGACTATTTTACAGCTGTTATAGGTCGTTGGGTTAGAAGTAAAACATTTCTGGATAGATTATGCATGGTGTTAAAACTCTACTGGCGTCTAGAGCTGGTGTTTTGCTCATAAGGAATGGTGGAAAATGGGAGAGAGTTGCGGGAAGTTTGGAAAGAAGACACTCACCTGCTCGGCTGTTGCACATGAGCCCATCACCGGGCCAGCATCCGCGCCATCAGCACGTGATCCTAGAGACGGACGCCGGCACGTACAGGTAAATCCTCGGAGAGGCGTTGAGAAAATATAAAGTCCTTTTAAGAATTGATTTCGGAAGGGTGACTATCTGTATGAAAAATTGTATTATGCATTGTATTTTGGTAAAATATGTTTTCTAATTTGTCTTGTGTTTTGAGCAGTAAGAAGGGGGTTGCTGGGTTGGAGGACATGTTGTTCTACACAATCACCCAGGGAAAAGAGAAACTCTCAGTGGCACGTTTCCTGACAGTGAGTTGCTCTAGAGTCACGGTGCTGATGACATTATGCGTGTGTGTGTGACTTAGTCAGCTTACTGCTGTGGCTATCTGTCAAACCAATGGGAATAAAATGCATGCTATAAACATCATGTATACTCATGCTCTCTATTTTATTTAGTATAATTAAAAAAAGTTTTATTCTTACACAGGTTATAATCATAAATCTTTGGTATTATATAATAGTAGTACTATATATAGACGTCGTGTTTGTGCCAGGTGTCTGGGCTACATTAAAGCCCCTAATAAATATATCTATTCCCAAACACATGTGGATCCATATTTGGATGTTTGAGTTTATACTACAGGGAGGAATACATCAAATTATGGACTGTTTTAACCAAGGTAACACATTCAATTTCCAGGCATAGTGCTGCACCTTCTTGTGTGTGTGTGTGTTTGTGCTTCAGTGCACATGCCACCCAGAAATAGATAGCTATTAAAGTGTCTGCTATAATTTATATGCATGGGGTTGTTTTGTCTATATATGATGCTGGTCATCTCCACCAGCTGCAGTTTAACAACTCAGATCCCATAGACCATTGACTGTCTGAAGATAACATGTTCCTACCAAATGACTGATGGTGAACTCTTTCATTTGACTTGTAAACACTGTTGCACAGTACCATAGGACCTTAATATTTTAGTCTTTGATTTAATCTATTTACTGTATTAATGTATGTTCCTGTGCTTATTGTAAATCCATGTTCCAAAAAACTTGCCTTCGTAATTTTTTTTATCAAAATGTAAGATCTTGCTACGGTTTTGAAAGACTTTCTTTTTCTGACACCTGTCATATAGCCTAGAGACCACTTTTTACGATCCATTACATTCTTAATGGATCAAATCAAGCCCCACTTTCTTCTCATAATTTCCTGTTTCACTCCCAAATACACTACCGATCAAAAGTTTAGGCTCAGTAAGAATTTTGGTTGCACTTTATTTTACAGTACGTGCACTTACATGTACTTACAGTTTACTTAGCTAAGAAAGTACTGGGTAATATAAGGCAACTACATGGGCTAAGGTTAGGTTTAGGGGTAGGTTCAGGGGTAGTTCCTAGTTATTACTTTTGGAACGGTGTCGTGTAAGTGCCCCCTAGTTACAGTTTTTCTCAAATGCTAAAACACAAAAGCCAATCCTCTAAACCAAATGACCAGTTGTCTAAACACATTTACTAAATCTAGCCATCATTTTCCAATATCATAAACACATTTCACATGAAGACACAATTCACAAAACACAATCCTCCGTTCTCATAAATCTTAACACATTTTTCCTTGCTAAAACACAAGTTGCAAAAGAACTCTGCTCATATTCTCAAATGAAAGCTCATGTGATGCAAAATGCTTGCCACAGTCAGCAATATTTGAACACAATGAACACACCTGGCATCATTCATTACACACAACGACTCAAAATTGAAGACACTTGTTGCTAATGCTGTGACCACATATAAAAGCAAGTTCAGAGTGCACAGTTTGCTGAAGAATCCAAACAAACACAATGGATGAAGGCAGAGTCAGGGGAAGAGGAATTCGAGTCAGAGGAGGGAGAAGAGCTGGCCATGGAAGAAGAGGAGCAGGCCAACGAGGAAGAGGAGGAGGCCAACAAGGGAGAGGAGGAGGCCAACAAGGGAGAGGAGAAGGCCAACAAGGAGAGGAGGAGGCCAACGAGGGAGAGGAGGAGGCCAACAAGGGAGAGGAGAAGGCCAACGAGGAAGAGGAGGAGGCCAACAAGGGAGAGGAGGAGGCCAACAAGGGAGAGGAGGAGGCCAACAAGGAGAGGAGGAGGCCAACAAGGGAGAGGAGAAGGCCAACAAGGGAGAGGAGGAGGCCAACAAGGAGAGGAGGAGGCCAACAAGGGAGAGGAGGAGGCCAACGAGGGAGAGGAGGAGGCCAACAAGGGAGAGGAGAAGGCCAACAAGGAGAGGAGGAGGCCAACAAGGGAGAGGAGAAGGCCAACAAGGGAGAGGAGAAGGCCAACAAGGGAGAGGAGGAGGGAGAGGAGGAGGCCAACAAGGGAGAGGAGGAGGCCAACAAGGGAGAGGAGGAGGCCAACAAGGGAGAGGAGAAGGCCAACAAGGAGAGGAGGAGGCCAACAAGGGAGAGGAGAAGGCCAACAAGGGAGAGGAGGAGGCCAACAAGGGAGAGGAGAAGGCCAACAAGGGAGAGGAGAAGGCCAACAAGGGAGAGGAGGAGGCCAACAAGGGAGAGGAGAAGGCCAACAAGGAGAGGAGGAGGCCAACAAGGGAGAGGAGAAGGCCAACAAGGGAGAGGAGGAGGCCAACAAGGGAGAGGAGAAGGCCAACAAGGGAGAGGAGGAGGCCAACAAGGGAGAGGAGGAGGCCAACAAGGGAGAGGAGAAGGTCCAGGAGGGAGAGGAGAAGGTCCAGGAGGGAGAGCAAGACAACCTCGCACCATCATTACGGACGAGATGCGAGCAACAGTCATTGACCATGTCATTGTCCATGGCATGACAATGGCTGAAGCAGGACTAAGAGACTGAGGACTGGTTCGTAAGAACAACCTCATCAGACTCCGGGAGATCAGAGACAAAGTCATTGCCGATAATGTCAACTTTGAGAGCATTGATGATGTCAGCTTGGCCACAATAGACCGAGTTCTCCGGCGCCAAAAGATGCGGATGAAACAGGTCTATAGGGTTCCCTTTGAGCGCAACTCTTCGCGACACAAAGACCTACGTTACGAGTATGTGCAAGTAAGTATACATCCATGTTCACAGTACAGTTAGTGGACATACTGTGTTGTTCAGTGGCCTACATTACTTCTGGACAATACTGTGCTACCTGATTGACTGTTGTTCTGAACACCTGTGCACTTTCACATAGGATATTACAGTTGGACACGATGGCCAGACCTCATGAGTACCTCTTCCTGGATGAGGCTGGCTTCAACCTGCAGAAACGAAGGCAAAGAGGCCGTAGCATCATTGGCCAAAGAGCCATCACTGAGGTTCCTGGCCTAGGTGTAATATTACTCTTTGTGCGGCCATGGGTTTGGAGGGGCTTGTCCACCGGCATGCTGTCCTTGGGTCTTACAACACCCAACGTCTCCTCACCTTCCTAGAGGAGCTAAAAGACATCCTCCTGGACCGCCAACAACACCATCCTGGGCCCGCACATCACATTTATGTGATCATTTGGGACAATGTACGCTTCCACAGAACAAACCAAATCAAAGAGTGGTTCACCACCAACAGTAACCACTTTTTAAACGTCTGTCTGCCACCCTACTCCCCTTTCCTGAACCCTATAGAGGAGTTCTTCTCATCGTGGAGATGGAAGGTTTATGACAGACAACCATACACTAGAGAGAACCTCCTAAGGGCAATGGAGCTGGCCTGTGTTGACATCCCAGTGGAGGCCTTCCAAGGACGGATTCGCCATTCCAGGGCGTTTTTCCCCCGGTGCCTGGCAAGAGACAATATAGCCTGCGATGTGGATGAGGTGATGTGGCCCGATGCAGCTCAGCGACATGATGCCGCACAGTGATTGTGGTGTGTGTGGTGTGAATAAAGTCAATAAAAAAACTTCACACCCTGATCATGTTTTCAAGAGTACTGTTGTGTGCAATAGATTCTGTTTTTGCACTGAGTTGTGTTACAGTAGTGTACATGCAGACTTTACTATAGATTTATACTCTTCATATGAAACTCACAAATCTAAATGCCTAATTTCTGCAGAGATCTAAGAAGATCCATTACTGTAAAGTTTCTAAAAAATATGCATTGGCAGTTATGAAACAAAGAACCTTCTCACAAATTGAGCATTGTGTTTTCAATTGTTTTGCTGTAGTGTGTAATGATGTGTATAGTTTTTACATTTTTGAAAGCATCGAGCTGCTCTTTTGGTGTGAAAGTTTGAGTTTTGAAGTGAGAAGGTGTGGTTGTGTTTATGTAGCTTTAGAAAAGGGTGTTGTGTTTAGACATTGGGGAACATGGAGGAAACGTTTGTGAAATGTGTTTTAGCATTTGAGAAAAACTGTAATAACTAATGATCTTTGTAACGGAAGTGAATCAATCAAAACTAACTTTAGCTGGACAATAACTTTATTCTAGAGCTGCTGTAAAGCCAAAACAATCCGTGTTACTTTAATTTCCTATTATCACTGTAAAGCTGCTTTGAAACAGTCTATATTGTTAAAAGCACTACATAAATGAAGGGGACTTGACTTGACTTGAGATAGTATGAACATGGGAAACAGGACTGTAAAATAAAGTGCTGCCAGAATTGTTAATGTTTTTGATAGTAGTCTCTTATGTTATGAAATATTATTACTATATAAAATAACTGTTTTCTATTTTAATATGCATTAAAATTTAGTTTATTCCTTTGAGGGCGAAGCTGAATTTTTCGCAGCCATTACTCCAGTCTTCATCATTCTAATATGCTGATTTGCTGCTCAAGTTTCTCATTATTATCAATGTTGAAAAAAGTTGTGCTGTTGTTACAGTTTTTTGGAAACCTGATATATTTTCTTTAATTCTTCAGTGAATGGAACGTTTAAAGAACAGAATTTATTTTAAATAAAATCTTTGTAACATTATACATGTCTTTTCTGTCACTTTTGATCAGTTCTAAATAACAGTAGTGTAAATCAACTGGGTTGTGAACGCTGTTTCAAGTTGACATTAAATGTCTCTATATAACTTATCTTATGCTCCTGAACTGGTACTGTAGGTCATCACATAAATTTGTGCTAAAATTTTCAAGCAATAATTTTTCACTGAACTGTGTTTTGACAATGAATTATTCCAGTATTAAAATACATGTTCTTGTTTTTTTTAGGCACTCAAAAGCACAGGCTTGATGACCTCTGACCCCCGTTTGAGAGACTGCATGCGACAGATCCATCAAGCTGTCCAAGAGTCTGTTGGAATGACAATGATGGACCAGGAACTGTTCAGAAAGTAAGTAGGAAATTGACTCAGCAGTGCAAAGAGTGAGAGCATATGTGTTTTTAGCGATTTATCACCACTAATAGTCTACCGCCTACAGCTGTTGTGACTCATGTCCCTTGGGTAAATGATAGCTCAATGTTCTTGGAAGGCTGGGAATATAAGCAGTCGATTCATCATGCCCACATGAACACATATCTTCACATACAAATGCCTCACCTGACTTTCTGCTCCCCAACAGAGATAAATACAACACTCCACCTGTTGTTTTTGTATGTATTGTGTGTATATGCTTCCCGCTGGAGCGTGTGTGGAGCTAAGCTATGTTAAGCAGTGATAACGTGTTTGTTAGTCCTCTGTGGCACAGCTTATGTTTCTTTTGAACCGATTCCGTCAGTGTTAATAAACATGGATCAAATATAATTTTCAGCCATGTAAAACTCTCTTAGCACATTACTGATAACAGTTGTGTCACATTGGCATATGTGTGTTTCTGTTTCTAGATGTGTTGGCAGTAACATAGTCCTCCTGACTCAAGCCTTCCAAAGGAAGTTCATCATTCCAGACTTTGAGGCCTTTACCTCCCTCATAAACCATTTGTATTATAACGTACAGGCTCAGCAAGGAGGGAAAGTAAGACATTGATTTTCCTTATCGCTGTTTTTGAATCACCTTGTCTTTTAAAAACACATTTATTTACTTCTAATCTCTATGTGCGTGTTTTCTCAGGTAGCAAACTACATCCCTCAGTTGGCTAAGTTCAGTCCACATCTCTGGGGAGTTTCTCTGTGCACAGTGGATGGTCAGAGGTAAAATATACTATCTTCAAACTTTCTTTAGTCACATCTGTTTGATGAAAGTAACTTTTTGCAGCATCTGTTCGAAAAATGTACAATTGACCACATTTTCTGACCAGAAATACACTACGTTCAAAGTTTGGGGTGCTAAGGGGGTGGGGAGGATTTTTTTTAAAAAATTGCTTTTATTGCTTTTGAATTTTCTATTCATCAAAAAGTCCTAAAATAAAATTAATTAAATGAAAATATTGTCAACATTGATAATAAGAAAGGTTTCTTGAGCACCAAATCTGCATATTAGAATGATTTCTGTCGACTGGAGTAATGGCTGCTGGAAATTCAGCTGGAATAAATTACATTTTTAAATATATTAAAATAGAGCCGTTATTTTAACTTGTAGTAATATTTAACAATATTACTGTTTTTACTGTGTTTTACATTTTTTTAAATACATGCAGCCTTGCCCTTGGTGAGCATGAGACTAACATTCTTTCAAAATCAACCATTACCTTTTGAATGGTAGGCCTATTGTATTTCAAAATAAGTGTACAATAATTTTCTTATTATAAATATTTGCAATTATTTTAATGTTTTGTTTCTGTCTCAACAACAATATAATTTTGACTTATTTTGTCAACGGTTTTGATCTTTGAATCATTGACATCACTTCTCACTATCAAACTCATCATATTATCATTCTTGCAGTTCGATTGAATGTGTTATGGTGACCAAGAACTTTATTAATCTCATAATAAAGTGCTTGGCCACCTGGAAAATCCAAATTTCACTCACATCACATGCTTTCTGGTTAATTCTGGATCTTGAATAATAGCAATTCTGTCTTTTTTTCTTTTCCCTCTCTCACTGAATCTTTCATTTGATCTCTTCCTCTTTACATAGGCATGCTGTAGGGGACACGAAAATGCCATTTTGTCTGCAGTCATGTGTGAAGCCTCTGGAGTACGCGCTGGCCGTGCATGAGGCTGGCACTGAGCATGTGCACAAATATGTGGGGAAAGAACCTAGTGGCCTCAAGTTCAACAAACTCTTTTTAGATGAAGAGGGTGAGAAACCATCACAATCTGTCTTATTTCTCTTTTTGTTGGTTTCACTCAAAGATATGGCCACACAAAGTGGTCTCAAACAGTATTTGGACATTTAAAGTGAAACATTGTCAGTATACTTGTATTTTATTAATCTTTCTTTTATTTTCACTGGAAGAAACTCCAGAGGTTCAAAATCAATGGCATGACTCTAAATTAGTGATTTCACAGGCTCATTGTGTTCTATTGCAACATGAAGTCTGGGAACAAGAGGAAGCTGTAAAACAGTTATCAGACGTCCTTTCAGTATAAACATTATCAATGGATTTCCTCACCTCTGAGGAACATTGCATCTGCAATCTTTACTGGAGCTTTACTGAATCCTTCCCAGTCAACATGATGCTCCTTTGACATTAAGATTTGATCATTTGTAAACTTTTTTTGGGGGTTTCCCAGATAAACCTCATAATCCCATGGTGAATGCAGGAGCCATTGTAATCAGCTCTCTCATAAAGGTAAGAGGCTATTTTTGTACATTTTAGTGCACTGTTGATATATATTCATCATAATAATACCACAGGTACAAACTCAAAATGAAATTCCAACAGCCATAACACATTCATTTGTTCGTTTATTTAATTTTTTGTCCCAGCCTTTACAGGGGCGCCCTTTAACCCTAAACTTGAAGAGTTACTTTAAATTAAGCAGCATTGCTGTGGTGCGTGTTATTGATATCGGAAATGATTACTGTGACAGGCAAAGTGCTTTTATTGGGACAAAATTATGTTTCTGTCCTTTCCTTTTGACCTGGTTTTAAACAGCTGACAAGGTGTGTGTTTGTGTGTATGGTGGTAGTGGGTGGTCCAATGAGGAATCACATAATAAGTGCTGCTAGTGGTCAGGAGGTGTGTCTAAACAGCCAATCAGAAGATGTGCTTAGAAATACGCCTTTCAGTGTGTTTAAAGGGGCTGCTATGAAAGAGTAAAAGGTTTTAGTGGTTTAACTGATATAAAAAAAAACTAACTGCATGAATAATTAAGGGACTCCTTACTTGTAGTATAAGTTTCTAATTTGACCTATGCTCTTAAATATGTTACACAACCTCTTGAAGCACAGACACACAGGAGTATTTTTTAAGATGAAGACATCTAACAGCTGTGATCGCATTACACTGACCTTCTGGACTCCCTCGTGGAACTGGTCACCTTCACGTCACACCTTAGGACATATGAAACTAAATATGTGTACCACTTCCTGTTAGGGACTAGCGGTTCATATTCAGTCATTTGGCTTTATATTCTGTCATATCATTTCATGTTCACTGCCCCATGTGCAATGAAAAACATGACAGATCATGACTAAATTTGCACACACACACAAAAAAAATTAAATAAGATGTATTCTCATTAAAGATGCTATTTATGGTTTAATATGGTTTTACATGCATAACATATTATATATATATATATACACTCACCGGCCACTTTATTAGGTACCCCATGCTAGTAACGGGTTGGACCCCCTTTTGCCTTCAGAACTGCCTCAATTCTTCGTGGCATAGATTCAACAAGGTGCTGGAAGCATTCCTCAGGGAGTTTGGTCCATATTGACATGATGGCATCACACAGTTGCCGCAGATTTGTCGGCTGCACATCCATGATACGAATCTCCCGTTCCACCACATCCCAAAGATGCTCTATTGGGTTGAGATCTGGTGACTGTGGAGGCCATTTTAGTACAGTGAACTCATTGTCATGTTCAAGAAACCAATTTGAAATGATTCAAGCTTTGTGACATGGTGGAAGTAGCCATCAGAGGATGGGTACATGGTGGCCATAAAGGGATGGACATGGTCAGAAACAATGCTCAGGTAGGCCGTGGCATTTAAACGATGCCCAATTGGCACTAAGGGGCCTAAAGTGTGCCAGGAAAACATCCCCCACACCATTACACCACCACCACCAGCCTGCACAGTGGTAACAAGGCATGATGGTTCCATGTTCTCATTCTGTTTACGCCAAATTCTGACTCTAACATCTGAATGTCTCAACAGAAATCGAGACTCATCAGACCAGGCAACATTTTTCCAGTCTTCAACTGTTCAATTTTGGTGAGCTCTTGCAAATTGTAGCCTCTTTTTCCTATTTGTAGTGGAGATGAGTGGTACCCGGTGGAGTCTTCTGCTGTTGTAGCCCATCCGCCTCAAGGTTGTGCGTGTTGTGGCTTCACAAATGCTTTGCTGCATACCTCGGTTGTAACGAGTGGTTATTTCAGTCACTGTTGCCCTTCTATCAGCTCGAACCAGTCTGGCCATTCTCCTCTGACCTCTGGCATCAACAAGGCATTTCCGCCCACAGAACTGCCGCTCACTGGATGTTTTTTCTTTTTCGGACCATTCTCTGTAAACCCTAGAGATGGTTGTGCGTGAAAATCCCAGTAGATTAGCAGTTTCTGAAATACTCAGACCAGCCCTTCTGGCACCAACAATCATGCCACGTTCAAAGTCACTCAAATCAACTTTCTTCCCCATACTGATGCTCGGTTTGAACTGCAGGAGATTGTCTTGACCATGTCTACATGCCTAAATGCACTGAGTTGCCGCCATGTGATTGGCTGCTTAGAAATTAAGTGTTAAAGAGCAGTTGGACAGGTGTACCTAATAAAGTGGCCGGTGAGTGTATATATATATATATATAAATGTTTATGGATTTTTCTAGGATGAGACAATTATGATCTCATATCATAACACATTTTCTTTGCTGCACGTCTGTGCACACTGCCACCAAGTGTCTAAATACAGCACTGTATTACTGTTTGCAGAGGGATCTTTGGATCAATCCCAAAACAAACTGTCCCTGGAACCACTGTTAGCTATTTTTTTTGCTGCCGAACAGAAACTAATATTATTTATACAATTGATTTTTAGCCCATTTGACTAAATGTGAAGAATTAGTGGACAGTGTGAATGTTGAATGTGTTGTGTCACATCTGACTCTTTCCTTTTGGATATTTCTGACTGTGTCTGTGTGTTGTGTCTTGAAGACAAGTAGCATAGCTATGGGTTAGCCCTCAGAAATTTCTAATGGCTTTTTGAAATGTATTTATGAGTAAAATAAGCGGTTATATATAGACTAAACATATCACAAGGATGTAAGTTTATTGCTTGATGAATCACAAAACTTGTGCAGTCCTTTAGAGGCAACTTGTTAGCAACTTACATTTTAAAGCACACAATAGTTTAAAAATTCACATTCGAGGCATAACTATGTAATTTATATTGTTGAACAATATTTGAAAGTCCTATCAAGTAATATTATTTATAAATAAAATTAGTGAATTAGCCTTTTGTGCAAATTAGCCTTCCAGGTTAGCCTTCTATTACTGCTTTTAGTATGAGTTTTATTGGCTTGACTACACTTGTGAAAAAAAGTGCGCTTAATTCTATTAAATGTGCACTTGTAGTATACTTCAAATCTTAGTATACTTTTAAAAAACTGCATTTGCAGATATAATAATATTAATAAAATAAAAGGCCACTTAAGTGTGAGAGTGCACTTTAATGACTGTTTATTAACACATTTAAGGAAACTTTAAATAGTACATTTTAAATCACTATTAAATCAAAATTAAAACTTTGTCATCATTTACTCGCCCTCAAGTTGTTCCAAACATGTATAAGTTTCTTTCTTCTGTTGAACACAAAATAATATATTTTAAAGAATGTTGGTAACCAGAGAGTTGACAGTAGCCTTTTCTTTTCCTACCATGATCTTACTTATTTTCTTAATTTACTTTCTCTTTTTTTGTCTCTATTACAGCCTGGTTCCAACAAGGCAGAGAAGTTTGACTTTGTGAGTACACTGCAACATCTCAACCATCTGAAATATCCCAGGTTTTTCATTTTATCTCACTTGTTATAAAAATTGATTTCTGTTTGTCGGTCAGATGATGGATTATCTGAAGAAAATGACTGGCAGAGAATATGTTGGGTTCAGTAATGCCACGTGAGTTTTTAATATAACTCTTTTATTAGTATCAAATCACACTCTCCTAGAGGTGAACCTACAGTTGTTATGTAATTTGTACTAGTTTATTTGTGAATGATAACATTTTCTTGCTTTTTATAGTTTCCAGTCAGAGAAAGAGACAGGTTACAGGAACTATGCGATTGGCTATTATCTCAAAGAAAAAAAAGTGAGTGTTTTTTTTGGTTATTGTCTTTTTTATAAGCCTAATGATGGGATTTGTCAGCCTTTCTCATCTGCTGCTCTGCTCTTTTTCCTGTAGTGTTTTCCCAGTGGAGTTGACATGATGGCAGCCCTTGACTTCTACTTTCAGGTAAATGAACTGTCATTCTGACACATACCAATTGTGTTTAAAAGTAGAACTTGCTATTATTGCTCATACTAAACACAAAATGTTTCTCTTTTATGTTTTTATGTCTTTCTTTCATTTCCAGCTGTGCTCTATTGAGGTGACATGTGAGTCCGGCAGCGTCATGGCAGCCACATTAGCTAATGGAGGGATCTGTCCAATCACAGGCGAGCGTGTGCTCAGTGCCGAAGCCGTCCGAAACACTCTCAGTCTCATGCACTCCTGCGGCATGTACGACTTCTCTGGCCAGTTTGCCTTTCACGTGAGTCACACACTCACAGCCAAATGATTGCTTGCAGAATTCCTCAGTGTGATAAAGTACACAGACACAATGGACTTTACAGCTAGATGAAACTATTTCAGTTATTTATTTTAAACCTCAGCTAATTACTCAAATAAAATCACTGTTATTAGATGGGGCCATGCTGCAAAAGACGTGAGACGCATGCGCAATGTGTGTTTACATTGAAAAACAGTGAAATGTGTAAACCGGCCCTATGTGTGTCTCTTCCTCAGGTGGGTTTGCCTGCTAAATCTGGGGTGTCTGGTGCTGTGCTGCTCGTAGTTCCTAATATTATGGGGGTAATGTGCTGGTCTCCGCCTCTTGACCGTGTCGGCAATAGCATCCGAGGCATCCACTTCTGCCAGGTACTTTTTCATGATCTCTGCTTTTGTCTCTCTTTCTATATCTTTATTTTTCTCAGAGACCATTAACTTGTTTCTCTTTTAGGAGCTAGTCTCGCTGTTTAACTTCCATAATTATGACAATCTGAGACACTTTGCAAAGAAGTTAGACCCTCGCAGACAGACAGGCCATGAGAGGGTGAGACCACAGACCAAATTTGCCATTTCATTTACACTGTGCTAACAAAACAAATAGTTAATAGTTGTAAGCACTGATTATATTTAATATATTTCAGAACAAGTCTGTGGTGGATCTGATGTTTGCTGCTTACAGTGGTGATGTTTCAGCTCTCAGGAGGTAAAAATCTCTTTCTTTTTAAAAATATCCCAACATTTTTATGTGAATGGTCATGAGCAACAATGATATATTAATTTGTTTCAGAATTGCTCTCTCTGCAGTCAATATGGAATTGACTGACTATGACATCCGTACCGCCCTACATGTGTCCTCAGCAGAAGGTAACAGGCTGAAAAACGTGTTTTATGTATCTCCACTACCATTAAAAAGTTTAGGGTCAGTAAGAATTTTTGACATTAATACGTTTATTCAGCAAGGATGCATTAAATTGATCACAGGTGAAGTGACTTTAAATAACTGCTGTTCTTATTCATCAATGAATCCTGAAAAATATGTATCACCAACATGACATCATGACTTTGCGTAAACATACACGCCACTTTCAATTCAAGTGGCGTGCTATCTATACGCATTTTGAGCTATCCGCGTGTATGTCCACGCCGAAATCTTTTGCGTGTATGTCTACACCATTAAATGTCCGAGTGATTCCGCGTGTATGTGTACGCCGTTAAATGTCCGAGCGAAACAAAGCAAAATCTATATCTACATCTGTGGAGCGATATTTCTTTTCCTAGGATGGTAGGAGAAGACTCATAAATGGTATTAACCCCAGTGACGGGTAGGTTTAGGGACGGGGTTGGGGTAGGTCATATATTTATATATACATAATACAGTAATATAACGTTAAGTCAAAGGCGTTGATAAACACGCTGAAAAGCGATTATGCGTGTTAATAGCACGCCAAAAATGGAAATACGAATTGGCGTGTCATACATACGCCATTTCATGAGATCAGTCTGGTATCACAAAAATATAAAGCAGCACAACTGTTTTCAACATTGATAATAATAAGAAATAAGCACCAAGTCAACATATTTAAATGATTTATGAAGAATCATAAATGCAGCTTTGTGAGCATAAGAGACGTATTTCATAAAATCAACTTCAGCTTTCGATTGAGTTATTTCTAGTCTAACTAGCAACAAATGCATTAATTTTTTACCGTCCCAATCCAAATCACATTCATATGTGGTTGATATATATAATGAGTGAATGTATGATCTAAAATACAGTAATGCCTCAAATGCTTATTTTGTCTCGTGTGCCTCATGATTTGATGTCATAATGGAGGTAAAAAATAAAATAAATTCTGTCAGTTGTTGTCTTTTGGCATCATTCTGATGCTCAAGTCATTATTTAATTCATTACTACTATCATCACTAACAGCGTGAACAGTGAGTCCTAAAGTTTGAATTGTGAAATCTGAATTGGGTGTAAATGAAAAACTAATTTATGCATTTATTAATAGGTTCCTAAAACTCTGATTTCAGGGCACTTAGATGCGGTCAAGTTTTTAACAGATACCTGCAAAGTCAACCCCAATGCAAAGGACAGGTAAGGCAAAACTCACCTCCTGTAAGGGATCCAAATGAAAAGACACAGAAACATGACAATGACATGAAACGTGACCAAGACAAGACCAAATCGTGACAGATCCCCCCCTCTATGGGTGGCTCCAGACACCCAAACAAAAGAAAAAACGTTCAAGGAGGGTGGTGGAGCGGAGGCGGACCCCCATCCCCCCACCCCCCACCAGCTCAGGAACAGATACCGGCTCCGATGTGTGCGTAGCCCACACATGGCCATAATGGCCAGTGTTGCAGTCACTGAGAGCTCAGGCGGCGTGGCTCTGGCGTGGTGGAAGCCATCTTGGAACGAGACTCTGGCGTGGTGGCCGCCAACTCGACCGAAGACACAGGCACCGCAGACATGGCATGAACAGTCTCTGACTGGGCAGGCATGTCGTGAACAGTCTCTGGCATAGTGGCATATAAAGCATAGTCAATATATTGCTCAAGGGACCAGTTGATCTTTCCCCCAGGTAGCCTTGAGCAAATGGGTTTGTTTAATCCATGGCGAAAAATGTCTTTTAACACATCGTCATTGAAGTCCACCAGATGAGAGAGTTCACAAAAGTCCTGGACATAATCGTCCAGGTGACGATTCCCCTGGCATAAACACAGGAGGGCAACTGCTGAGTTCAGCATAGCTTTGTGTGGCATGAACTTAAAGCAAAACATAAACGTGGACATGGACATAAAGCTTACCAAACAATGGTTTACAGGGAAACAAATGAAAAGACACAGAAACATGACAATGACATGAAACGTGACCAAGACAAGACCAAATCGTGACACCTCCCTTGCACTTTTTGTGGTCTGTTTTTGTTTCATTGATTTAAAATGCATGCCAATCTGTTCTTCAGATGGGGGAACACACCTCTCGAGGACGCTATGCAGTTTGGGCACAACGCAGTGGTCAAGGTACTACAGGAGTACCAGAGCATTTACACACACACACTAATGCCAGAGGATCTCAGCGCTGACACGTTTCCCGATTCCACCATTGACGCAGAGGAACTGAAGAGCATGGAGACGCTGAATGGTTTAGTTTGAGTGAGAACTACCACGGGAAATGCCAAACCGCAGAGCAGGTGTGGGCAGGTGTTACAGAGATTGCTTCAAACCAAAGCTTTGCTGTTTGTAGACCTCGGCTAGCTTCTACTGATGGTTTAAGATAGTCATTACTGTAGTTTCTCAGACCTCCATTCAGTCTACTGTGGGATTATGAAACTACCAGGTACTTCCCGGTAATTTCTGGTACGGCTCCTCAAAGACAGTGTGGTTTATTCTTGGACCAATTTATAAATGCTGAGGCTTCCTAGTTTATCCTTGCAGAATAATTTTTATGTAAAAGCCTTAACTCAAAGGAAGCCTTAGGAACTAGGCCAGGGGCCGGATTCACGAAACATTCTTAGGATTAAAAATCTTTAACTGCTATTTTCTTCCTGGTTTCTGACTTTAAAAATTATGAATATTTTGTATTCCAAAAATACTTGAGAACAATTTTACAAAAAAAAGATAATAGCATTCTTAAGACAAAACTTAATTTATATTCTTAAAAATACTTATAAATAACTTCTTAAAGTTAGGATAAGCTCCAACTTAAATCCCTGAAGATACGGGGTTTAATGAATTTGAGATGTTTCAAATATCTAGCATTTCAACACAACACTAGCTTTAACTTTTCAAAAAATGCACATAGGAACCATCTTTTGAACTTCAAATTTATCTTTAAGATTTTTGTGACTCTGGCCCTGTTACTAAGTACCTTAGTGTAAATTTAGCAGGCTGTCTATCAAGACAACCACGCACATTAAAAAGTAGTTTATTTAAAAAATAACCATACTAGAAATGTCATTACATCATATTGCCTTGAGTTAAGAGCACTCTTCATAATGTGAACTGTGGCCCAGTTTCTGTCTCATTTTAAGTTATTAATAATTTTCGGCTAAACATTTTGAGCAGGTATTTGTATATTTGTACTATTCTTAAGATGTTGGAATTTTGTATGTTTGTTAATAGAAATTTTTTGTAAGGTATTTAATGTAATTTAATGTTGTTTTAATGTAGTGCACAAAAGCTTTAACTGAACCCTCTGTGGACTTTGCACACAAGAAATAAATGGTATTTAAAACTTGGTACATGGACAAACTTTATTGCTGGATACAAAACTGGAAGTTTTGAACAAAAATAAAGTTCAGATAGTTATAGAAGAGCGTTTGTTCCGAATGAAAGTGAAAAGTGTGACATGGACAGAATCAGATGACACGACACAAAGTATAGAATAACACTAGTGAAGGGTGTCTTTATTGAAAAACCTCTCAACACTGTACTAAAGCACAGACGCAAAATTCAAAATGACTAAGGATATCAAGTATTCATATGTGTATGTACGGATGCATCAATTCATCAGCATTATCACAAACAGTAGAGTTTGGGGATATTGTCACCAGCTGAACGGACAAATCTTTATTTAATGGCAGTAAAAAAAACAGCTGTGTTCCCACTGAATGTCTATTCATAAGGCCCCTACTTCCTCTTCTCTATCCATTAAGAGGCATGTAACACCAATGTGTGAATAATGAACAAGAGTCACTGAAGCCCTGGTGGAATCTCCAGTCCAGAGTGTGAGAGTAACTCCCCATCCCAGAGTGCAAAGGCAGGACAGATGGGCGAGCGGAACTGTGTTCTTATCGTGTACACCACTTCAGCTTTCTGGGTGTCCACCAGACTGAACCGTCCCGCCTTGTAGTCTAGCAAGAGCCCGACCCGATCAGGTTTCCCCACCAATGGCACCGGGACCTGCTTACCAGTGGTCATGGCAAACCACTTCCTCTGGACAAATGCGAACACCCAGGAACTAGAATTCGTGCCCACACATTCGTCACGTGATGTCAACACCTCGGCCACTCCCACACGGAATTCGTGGGACCTTTTAACCGTGATCTCCCAGTAGTGCTGTCCAGAATCAATGTGGGTGTCAGCGAGAACCACAGCCCAATCCCGGAACCGGAGAGGGGTATCCTGAACGAGGGAGGGGTCCACACCTAGCATTCGATAGATCACACCTGTGTCCTTCTTAAAAAGGTCCAGGCTGCTGTGGGCTGTCCGCTCATCAAGCTTAAACTGCAAATCTATATAGACATAAATAATCTTTAATATATATATATATATATATATATTTAAATAATAATAATAATAAAAAAAATGTATATATAGATATATATATATAGACAAACATACACACATACAGTGTATAGACTAATATCATAATGCGAGTTAGCCAGTGTTTTGTGCAATAATAAAATACGTTTTAAATTTTGTTTTTATACTGATACCACTGTAATTCCATGGTATTCCTGGAGTACAGTGGAGTGCCTTGTAAATACCATGTTAAATAAATGATAATTATTCAGTATTCAGTTTTTAGCATAAATAACTGCTAAAAACATGTACTACAACAACAACAACAAATAACTGGTCATTGGTCTCTCAGTGGTCCAATGTTCAGATGATCAGACTGGAAGAAACTATCTATGACCAGCAAACCATTTTAGACTGGTGCAAGATGTTTTTTTGATTTTTGTTCCCAATTACCCAGGTATTACACCTCTAAGCTATAGTAGTAATTTTTGTGAGGGTTGCCATTAACAGTGGAAACCTGATATTAGCCAGCAAATGTAATTTCAAAAGAAAAGAAATACAACTAAAATAACAGATAGATTCTGTAATGTGGACTCATGCATTTTCTGTAAAGCTGCTTTGAAATGATGCGTGTTGTGAAAAGCGTTATTCAAATAAATGTGAATTGAATGGAATACATTCTGAAAGTTGTGTGAAGCAGATAACAGATTAATTAATAATCCCTGCCAAAATTAGTAGTAGCAATTACATGTTATTGTGCAGGTATCATGGTAACTGGTAAGCATAGTAAACTGGGAAAGGATAAAAGAAAAACGATGACTCTTTCAAGTACTGATATGAAAGACCATAATGTTCCCGTTGTCAGATTATCGAGATCACGATAATGATGATGATGATGGGGCCGCATCACACTGAAGTAACAGGGACATAATGTCGGACATTTGCACTGTTTTTCACAATGACCCGCGTAAATATCGCATTACTATCACGAACATTTATAATTAGCTCGTGCCAATCTACTGGAATCTCCGCTGAGACACGTGACTATTGTATACGTCACCACAGAATTGTTCTTTTTTCTTTTACAGTTTATGCAACAGAACTGATATCCATGTTGTGTAATGCATCCCACTATTGATAATTAATAAAAAAAGGAAATGTTTCACGTGTAATTATTATAACCAGAAGTATGACCTCTGGATTTGACTGGACTCCACACTGAGGTACGTGGAAAGCATTGCATTTACTCACTGTTGCCTGCACTGGCAGTAATATACCATCTCCGAGCTGTGAGGGTTTTCACACGGCCGTGAACGAGCGCAGTCCCCAAAGATGCAGTCAAACGGCAAAAGAGTACCATGCCCGAGGACATCGCCATGTTGTCCCATTTGTAGTGCGCTTTACCTCTGTTTCTGTCGCAAGGTTGCGCTGTCCAAATGCTTGGGCGCTGCTGCCCCCTACTGTAAAACATGCACACACACACACACACACACACACAGACACACACATGAGGCTACTTGTGAGGACCTCCAGAGACGTAATGGGTTTTATACTGTATAAACAATAACATAAACAGTATATTATATCCCCTTACACCGTGTCCGAACCAGCGATTAAGATTCCAGCGACTGCGAGATGGGTCGAAATCAATCAAAACCTACAGCCAATCAGAACAGCGTGTGGGCGGAGTCTCGCGGCAAGTGCACAGCAATCTTGACGGAAAGATAATAGGCTTCATAATGTTCATAATCAAATTCACAAATATTACACCCATTTAAACATAATTAAAAATACATAGGCTACTGAGTTACTAAAACAATCTTTGTCAAAGAATACACTTGTTTGTTCACAGTTTGATCGTTCTTGTTTCCATTTGTTTAATTTCAAGATTGATGAATTATCCATTGTTGCTTTTACAGCTACAAAGCTGGGAGCACTAAATTATAATCAAAGTAACATTGCATGCTTTTAGCATTAAATAAAGCACATAAACAGTACCTGAGATTATCATTGCCACACTTTGTGTTTGTTGTTCCAGCCGCGACATCGCAGAAATAGAAACCTTTCTGAAGCATTTTTAAATTGTCAAAAAACGCCACTTAGTATGATTTAGGGTGGAGTGATAAAACAAGAGTGGCCTGGCAGTCAAACATACATGAGACAGTAAAAATCATCCATGTAACTTGAACTCTTTATTTATTATTCACTAATAAAAGTATAGGGATTGATTTACAACAGGGTAATTTAATGTAAAATGTGTTGTGATGAATATCTGAACACAATAAATAAAAGAAAATGAGAACATACCATAATTATTCAGCTAGTAATTATTGTTCTGTTTGGCACTAAAATGATTTATATAAAAAACAATCTTATTCAATGTTATGATGGTGTCCATACTCTGTTCACTACCAAATAGCAATATTAATAATACACAATAAAATAAATACACAGAAAACAAAAACACACTTTATACTTTTACTTTTCTCATTTCTTGTTGCCATAAATAATTTACATTTTAAAAAAGGTTAAATATAAGAAACTATCAAACACTACTAATACTGTCTCAGTATTCAAGTGTATATCAAAGGGTTTCAAACTCACCCAGAGACTAATTTACAATTCATACAATAGAAAGGATGTGAACTTTATCATATGTTCATTCAGAGCCCTATATGAGGATGAAGTCATTTGGCATGTTTGTTGTACATGAGAACCGTAATGGACAATCTGATTGTGAATCGCAGAATATGTGCTTTAGTGGAAAAGCATTAGCTTTAGTTGATTTTCCATATGGGAATGGCAAAAAACAGTCAGGCTGAATAGATGCATACAATACAAAACTTGATTTGAGCAGTTTGACATTAGAGCTTCTGAAAAAATCAATGAGAATATATATGTTCTTTTCACACAAACAAGTAATTAATTATCCTAAACCATCAAGCAAAACCTACTACAACTATAAGATTTATTAGTCAGTCATTTCAAAATCTTGATCAGTTCATTAATAATGGCTATGAATAATTCAATATTCACACTTATTGTGGATTGCTGTGTTAGCTTCGAAAACTTCAGAACATCCTGGTACTTGTAGAGGTCTGGTCATGTCAAATCAATATTAAGTATATATTATTAACTGTATACAGCAGTTTTTCCTGGATTTGAGGACTCTGGTCTGCAGTCACGTTTATCCAGAGTTCACAGTGATGTCATTAACGGCCACGACTCCTGTAAGCCCGTATTGCTATCCTCTCCCAATCTCTCTTCGTCTATGTAGGTCTAAGTGTTTATAGAATAAGGCGATACAAGACCCAAAGGCCGAAAGTCAACCAGTGGCTTGTCCAGCTGAGCTGCATCCATTTCTGAATGGTGTGGCTGGCCATGCCATTCTGCGGACAAAAGAAACATATTTTAAACAAATATGAATAATAACCTGCACAGAAAGTAAGGACCATAGGATTTCAGGAGAAGTGGCTTGTACCTCATCAGAATCCATGTCATCTGTACTGGAGCCAAAAATAGAGCCCAGGTATGTAAAATGTAGCACTGCTAACATGCTAAATGTCCCATTAATTAAATATACCCACAATTCCTAGAGAAAAAAAATATGAAATATAAAAAAGTTAAATTTTTAAAGACATAAACTCCAACATAAGTTTTTACTTGAAAAAATGTTTATTATTTCAAATTATAACTATTTTTTGTGGCTTTTTACGTTTTCTTTTTTTTAAAGATATTCACACAAGTGCTTAAATAGCCATAATGACATATACAACACCTTTTTATGTCTGTGTTTGCAGTCAGATAGGCATCTCTTTGAGAGGACGCATGCATTTAAAATGATTGACAATCTTTTTCTAAGCACTGAAACACAGAATGAAGGCACAGTCCGTTAAATACACAACCAAAATCCAAGATGAAAAACAACCAATAGTGTGAAGAACACTTAGAACATTAGAAAATTTTAAATTAGAACAACTGAAAACCGTGACATGAGGAGCAATAATAAATGTCTTAACTATATCTAAACAGATACTCACCGTGTTCAATATATGTTATGAAGCCTAGTGTAAATAATACTGCCACAATGTGGAAACTTAGACCCTGTATGCACAGAAATACAGTATTGCATTTATTGTACTCTTAAGAAAGAATGCAATAAATTCAAATTAAAAATTAGAAATAGGCCAAAACGCACTCACATGTAGCAGAGCGCTCGCTGTGTATGTCAAGATAATGGCTGTGAAGCTCCCATATCTGAGAGCCTTCTTAAACACATCTAAAAAAAGAGGAGAAATGAGACTTACCCATATACTTGGAGGTATTAAAAATATAACATATACAAATGCTTGAAATAAAAGCTGGTCATTCTGTTCATTCAAGTCTTTTGGGAGATAAAATATTTAAATTAATTTCAGAGTGCAGTAGAACCAATACAAAAATGTTAGAGAAGCCATTAACAAATGGAACGAAAGAAAAAACACGTACAGGTGTTGAGCCAGCGGGACATGGGCAGGTTCCAGGAAGTGACCACTTCAACCATAGACCTGGGAAACTCAACATTAAGTGGCTTTGCTATTGTCATGTCCCTGAAAAGACAGAAATGGAATGACAAAAAGAGAAACTGAGAGAAAGAAAGAAAGGAAGAGCATGAAATATTGATCAATTAAAAGTAAATGGCAATTATAATCTTTAAGTGAAATGAATCATTGCAATGTCAGAAATAAACTTTATTATATTTATATTGAAGCTAGGGTAGGACACTTTTTGTTATACTGGTTATAACTCTCTTCACATCCTGATAGCAATGAAAAATAGAAGTGGTGTAAATATTAAAAAAACTGTATATCTTCTGTGGAAGTCTCAGGACCAAAAAATGTTTGGCCAATCATTGCATTCAGTCCAAATGGATAGGATTTATTTATAGGATACATAATAGGATATATTAATTAAAAATATCTTGTCATCATATATTACTAGCCTCTCTGAAATTGCCTACCCTAGCTTTAATGGAATAATAATTGTACTATTATTATTAGTAGTAGTAGTAATAATATTTTATTAACAATATTTGCCTTTATAATTGTTTTGTTTTTTAATAAAATAAAACAAAATAATTCATAAGAAATAATCAGACAGTAAGTACAGTTATCTTATGGCAACTGTAATGGCCATCAGTGTCTTGAGAGCCACTGAAACCATACTAAACATAACATCCGACCCATTTAGATTAAATTACTGTGCATATGAAAAAGAAATTTCTCATGGGGAATGTTTGTCACTTTCAGTGACATTTTTGCTATGTCCCCTGTTTTATTTCTGACACTCATTGGTATTATGTGAATCTGTATAATTTATACAAACCACTTAAGATTGTCCTTCTCTTCTGTGAACCCAGCACCTGCCAGTGTGGTTGTCGTCTCACCGAGGTAACTTACAAAGTAATTACTGAAATGGAAGGACAGGCTGTTCTCATAGGCCTGTAGCCACCTGATGAGGAGAATCACAAAGCTGATGGTTATCGCAACATCAGAGAGAAAACCACAGAGACTGTTGAGTTTTAACATTAAGGGTTTGTGCATTTCTTACCTTTTAATAGAGCCTCTGCATCGAAATATAAAATGAAATTCATTATTAAAACACAATCCAAAATGCCTAGTTGATAATTTTTAATTCATATTCAAGTAAATTTCGCTGATGTATGCATGTTTTATGCTTATATTGATTTGTCTTTATTCCCCATGATCAAATTGTATACATGTATTAATAATATAAATAGGACAATACCTCATCTTTCGCTTCTTGCTAAGGAAAAATATGAAAACAGATCAGTCAAACATTAAAAACCTTCACTGAGCCACATAGCAACACAAAAATTAACATTAACGTGATTAACGTTTGATATTAGAAGAATACTTTACACCTTATTGCTCTCTGAATAAACTATACAGTATTCCTCAACTCAAATTTATACTCACTTGCGGAGAAGCTTGTCTCCAAAGACTGGGATGAAATAGGGAAAGAGATAGGGAGCAATGCAGTTGGAAATGACCAGACAGATCTGGCTCTTTACACAGCTGAAGATTGACTTCATAAACCAGGAGGCACTCTGTGGAAAAGATCAGATAGATGCTCTAAACTAAAGTGCTGATGGAAAGCTCTTATTCTAATACATTGAAAATTCTAAAACATCTTTAATTCTAAATTGCATTAGAACGAAAGCTATCAAATTTGAGACTCACAAGTTTTCGACTCTCTACTGCATCCATGTAGCTGTTGAAACTGATCCAAGGCCCAAAGATGACGGTCCCCACAAAATAAATGTAGCCCATGAACTCCACTGGGGAGGGAACTTTCTCCACTATGCCTTTGTCCAAGTCAAAGGCAAGAGAAACTGCCTTCATGGCCACTACCATCTGGGAACCTGATGACCACAACAACAGTTTCATTTTAAATTTAGTCAAAATTCAGTACAGTAAATATCTACCATCCTGGTCTAATAGTCACTGTTGTCAGATAACAAAACAACAACAAAAATACTGACCTCTCATTTTATGCCAGGTTGTTGTATCCATCATATGCAACTCTCTGAAACAGAAAGAACTGAATCTTACCACTGTATCTCTAACTCTGGGGAATATATATATATATATTAGTTTTGGTCAGGATTATTGGCACCCGCATGGTAGATAACATGAAAAATGGCTGTAAAAAAATAATCTGCATTGTTTATCCTTTTGGTCTTTCATTCTAAAAAATCACAAAAATCTAACATAATCATTGAAGTAAAATAATTGAAACTGGGGGAAACACATCCATCACAATGAGTAAAACCAAAGAATATAGTTCTGATGTGCTGCAAAACAAAGATTGTTAAACTGGGAGACATGTGTCTGTATATTGTCTTAATGCATGAGGTGGAAAGTTTGAGTGGCCAAACACTCCCTAAGAGGATTACAGATGGAGAATTGCAGTGTTTAGGTGGGTCTTGGGGTCAGAAAGCTTAAAAAAAACCAAACAACCTCTACATCACCACATGTTGTTTGCAAGGGTTTCAAGAAAAATCCTCCATGCTCATCCAAAAACCCACTCCAGCATATAGTTGTCAGACTGGATTCTAAGGTCGGATGAAACATAAAAAAAGAGCTTTTTGACAGCAAACCCACCAGATGGGTTTGGTGCAAACAGGGATAAAAAAGTACCCCATCCACGATTAAATATACTGCTGTATCTTTAATGTTGTGGGCCTATTTTTTGTTGGAGGTCCTGGAATTCTTGTTCAGATACCATGGATTCTAGCAAATACCAACAGAAAAAATCTAAACCTGACTGACTCTGCTAGAAATCTTATAATGGGCCATGGTTGGATCTTCCATCAGGACAACGATACAAAACAAAAATGTGTCACTGAGCACAAAATGAAGCTTCTGCCATGACCATCCCAGTCCCCTGACCTGAACCCTATGGAAAATGAGTGGGGTGACCTGAAGAGAAGAAGCGCCAACATGGAGCTGGGAATCTGAAGGATCTGGAGAAATTCTGCATGGAGGAATTGTCTCTGATCTCTTGTCAAACTCTTGTCCAAACTCATAAGGCATTAGGAGAAAACTCAGAGCTGTTAAGTGTCGAGGTGTCCATGAGCAAGACACCTAACCCCAGCTGCTCCCGACGAGCTGGATGGCACCTTGCATGGCTGACACCGCCGTCGGTGTATGAATGAGTGAGTGAATGGGTGAATGTGAAGCAATATATAAAGCGCTTTGGTGGCTATTGGGTCTGTGACAGCGCTATATAAATGCAGTCCATTTACCATATATATATATATATATTTTTTTTTTAATTAATTAATTTTATTTTGTATTTAGTGTTCAAATCCTTCAGCCTAATTATTCATCTCCTCATCTTAACTATTTCCACTGTAATCAGTATTGACCACATTGTAAATACTATGTATAAAAATGACGAAACAGAAGAGTGTGAGAGGAGGACATACCCCAGAAGAAGGTAGATGAGGATAGTGATGGACAGGAAAGGTCCGCGGCTGCTTGAATGACGACACAGGAAGAGGATGAGGTAGCAGAGGAGGCTGAGAAGCACCACCCAAACCATGTGCAGCTCGAAGAACAGGTAGAGAGTGTAAAAACCGCCTGCCACCGTACTCAGGTGTTTCAAGACAGAGGGCAGACCTGAGAGAGAGGAAACAGCTTAAAAAAATTATTTTTAACATAATATCATTTAATTACATGTTTTTAAATATGACAATTCTGTCATTATTTATTTCCTGTCATGTATTTTGAAACATTCTTCTTTCCATGGAACACAAAAGAAGTTATTTATAGTAGAAGTGTTTTATCGCACAATGAAAGTGAATGGGATCGCAGCTGTCAAGCAAGATACAAAGCTACCACATGGCTTCAAAAGACTTGAGACATGGTACATTGTACATTACCTACTTTTATAGTGAATTATAGCATTTTTGGTGCTTAAAAACATCTGGCCACTATTCTTCTTTCTTAAATATACAAGTGGCAAGGAAGAGTGAAAGTTATACAGGTATGTTTGGATTGACATGAGGGACTATTCCTTTAAGATTACAATGCATGTTATGTGTTGTATCAACCCTCTTACCCAATCTCCACAGCAGCCTACATACTAGGCAGATGAGTAACAGCTGCCATACTTGTTCTAGACCCTGCTGGACAGTTGGAAGCAAGCAACCGAATCCCAGTTCCTGGAAGAACTCCTGTCTGCTTAGAGCTCCCATTGCTAGACTCTGAGAAAATAATAATAAAATTTGAGTTTGTACCATAAATAATAAGATCAATAATGCCAGGGTATTTGGTATGAGCAATGACAGATGCTTTAAGCTTCAAAGGTAAAGCTAAGATCAAGGCTGAATTGAGGTCAGAACATGGTGTTTGTAAAATGAATCTCAGGGTTAGGCTAATACTGAATCCAATGCACCTATATGATTGCAACAGCTTTTAGAAATATATATATATATAAATTCCATTATAGAAATCTATTCTCATCAGGATGGGGGAAAAACCTTCTTGTTGGTATTCTGCATATATGACACCCAAATGTTATGCCATGCTATATCTAAATAATCTTACCTCTGCAAGATGTTGAATACCCTTACACCGCAGTGCAACCAGACCGGACGTACCAGATGCAAGCTATTTGTAAAATCGACATCAGGTGTTATATCCTCTAAATGGGAATGATAATAGCTAAAAATGTACAATTCGGTACAGAGCGCGAGAACGGAGGAGGAGGATGAGCACTTCACCCACTATCAACTCAGACAGCGATGAACCGCAATAGGAATACGTCTGTGGGTCCCTAACATGTCAAGTTTTGTATACATTCTCTTATATTACATTACATTTAGAATAAAGATATATCTTTTTCGCCTGGGTTCTAATCTAAATATTGAGAATTGTGTTGCGCTTCTTACAGCACAATCGGTCCAGATGATGCTGGCAATGCCCCTGATGTGGTTGATGGCTGATTCCCATTGATGCTGTCCGTCGTTCATGATTACAGCGTCTCAAAGGGGCCCGACGACCAATCATCTTTCTGCCCATCTGTGGCTGAACCAATCAGAACGAAAAGGCGGGGCTTTGATAGCCTGAGTGCGTGTTAAAGTCATGTTGGCTATTCAACAAATATGGGGATATAATAAATAGGCTTTAGTATTGGTTTCAAATTTTCTATATTAAAATATACATTTAAACGTTATACATTATTTCTGGCGAAATATAGGCCTATTACGTTGTCTGTTGTTTTGTGACAGTTCCTATTATAAAAATGGCAATTTAATCATTAAATGCACAACTTATCAGCCTACATATATATATTTTTGTGTATAAATAGCCTGTTTACATTGGTACTTTTATTTTGAAAAGGGTAAAGTTGGTGAGGCGGAAGTAATTAATTAAATATTACAACCGGTTTTTTTTTGTGAAGCCGTTAGTGAAAATTATCTTAACAAGCCGGGTTTTTTATTAAAGTTTGATGAAATATTTTTCTAAATAGAAACGTTAAGCGAGAACAGGCAGCCAATTACTGTTGGCCGTACCGAAAGCGACAGTATCTGTCAGACACCTGACCCTGCATTCATTCAGCGGGTTGCCAGCTTGCAGAAGGTTTGGAATTGAAGTTGAGATTTAAGAAAAGCACGCAATTCTTAATTAATTAAATTACAAGTTGTATGATGGCAGGGCTTCTCTCTACGCAATATAATTCCGCACGGAGTAAATTACACCTGTTAAGAAACAACCCTGCCCTGTCAGTTCTAACGAGCACTCAACGTAAATACAGCAGTAAGGATGGAGCTGGGATTGAGTATTTACACAAAAGTGTCGTCCCGACCATGCACTACCAGAAGAGTTTACCAAGGTAAGAGAATTACATAAAATCACATAAATGACATATAACCTATGTCAGAGAATTCATTTCTGTGACGCTGTGCTTTGATATTGTGTCTTTGATGTTGAATCGGATTTAAGTTGGAAATACTATAAGTAAATCGTTTGTATATGACAGTTTTAAGTCATATTAGAGAATGTGGGTGAAAGTGCAAAGTCTACGCAAGGGGATGGGGACACGGTGTTACACGTAAATACGCCCCCTGTGGCCTCAATTTACGTTCCCGCAGCATTGGTCCGTGTTACATTGTAGAGGTAGAATTGCATTTGTTAATAATGAATTCAATTTAATTGAATGAAATGTCCTTGAAGGGAAATTGTCTTGAGCTTGTGATGCCGCATACACTACCGTTTAAACGTTTGTGGTCAGTAATATTTTTTTTTATTTTAAATATGTCTCTTATGCTCCAAGGCTACATCTATTTAACTAAATTATTTTTATAATTTAAATGTATTTTTTGTTTTAATTATTATTTTACTATATTTAAAAATGTAAATAATTCATGTGATGGAAAAGCTTAATTTACAGTAGCCATTACTTCCTTCAGAAATCATTCTAACATGCATTTCTTATTGTTACGGCCGCAACCGTGAAGTGAAGACATCACAAGTCAACACAACTCGTTCTATATGGGATTTATTACAAAAAGTGGTGTCGACAACACAATATAAAAAAAGTAAACCGGAGTAAGACACAACAATTCATTGTTGAAAACAGTTGAGCTGCTTAATATTTTTGTGGAAACGGGATACATGTTTTCAGGATTCTTTGAAGTTCCTAAGGTCAGAATATAAATATTTTGTACTGTGTAAAAGTCTTTACTTTGATCAGTTTAATGTAACCGCAATGAATAAAAGTAATCATTTCTTTTTAAAACAATCTTACAGACCCCAAACTTTTGAATGGTAGTGTACAATCAGAATTTAAATAAGAGTAGTAAATTATTATACCAAGTAAAAGATCTCACAATAAAATACCTTCAAAATTATCTGAAATGCAGTAAAACAATACAAAAGATTTAAGTAGTACATTACAAAATATTATACAATATTGTACAAAACCGACAAATAGATCAAACTTTCAATGAATTTGTTTTCCAAAATAAATTGTACATGATATTTACAGGTTACCAGTCCCAAAATTGGAGGATACTATACAGAGATATTTGGCAGCTCAAAGGCCCCTGCTGAATGATGAACAGTACAGGTAATTTGCCAAGAGTAGCTATATCAACTCATTCATTTCATATCTGAATTCATTTGAATTTTGATATTTTTCTGCCTATTTCTGTTCCCTTGAAATCCAACAGTAATACAGAGAAAGTAGCTCACGATTTCCAGAGCGGTGCAGGCAAGCAGTTGCATGAGGAACTTGTGGCCTTAGACAAGAACAACAAGCACACCAGCTATATATCAGGTGGGATATATCTCTCTTTATATATATCTATATATATATATCACATAATAACAATTGAATTTTGTTTTAATTTTAACCTCAATACAATGAATCAATGAATTTCTCCTTTGTACCTTGCAGCTCCATGGTTTGACATGTACTTGTCTGCTCGGGAGTCTGTTGTGCTCAACTTTAACCCCTTCATGTCCTTTAACCCTGACCCCAAACCCGAGTACAACGACCAGCTTGTGCGGGCCACCAACATGGTGTGCTCAGCCGTCCGATTCATGAAGACCCTTCGTGCTGGTTTGCTGGAGCCGGAGGTGTTTCACCTTAACCCCGCCAAAAGTGACACAGATAGTTTCAAGAGGCTGATCCGATGGGTTCCCCCCTCTATCTCATGGTTTGGAGCCTACATGGTGAACGCCTATCCTTTGGATATGTCCCAGTACTTCCGTCTCTTCAACTCCACACGTATACCCAAGTACAAGCGCGATGAGCTCCTCACAGACGACAAGGGCCGCCACTTGCTCGTAATAAGACGAGGCAACCTGTATGTGTTTGATGCGCTGGATCGGGACGGCAACCTGATAAAGCCTGCTGAGGTTCATGCTCACCTGAAATACATCTTGACAGACCCCACAGAAGCTCCTTCATTCCCATTGGGTGTTCTAACCAGTGAGAATAGAGACACCTGGGCAGGCTTAAGACAAACACTGCTGGATGCTGGAAATGGCGAAGCTCTGCAGTTAGTAGACACCGCTTTGTTTTGCCTCTGCCTGGATGAGGAGGTGATGAGGGACCATATTCACATCTCTCACAACATGCTTCATGGAGACGGCTGCAACCGCTGGTATGACAAGTCCTTCAGTATCATTTTGGCTAAGGACGGACAGGCGGCCATCAATTTTGAGCACTCTTGGGGTGATGGCGTGGCCGTTCTCCGCTTCCAGAATGAAGTCTTCAAGGACACCACGGAAAAGCCACTGGTTGGCCCTGGCTCCCAACCCGCATCCGTGGACTCTGCCTCTGCAGTTCGCCGAATAGGGTTCAAACTTGATGAAGAGTTAAAAGCTGGAATCACAAAAGCCAAAGAGAACTTCCACGCCGCCGTGTCAAAGCTCACCATCGACGCCATGGAGTTCAAGAAAGGTGGAAAGGAGCAACTTAAGAAGAAGAAGCTGAGCCCGGATGCCATCTCCCAGCTTGCTTTCCAGATGGGCTTCCTACGCCAGCATGGCCAGACTGTCGCCACATACGAGTCCTGTAGCACCGCTGCCTTTAAACACGGCCGCACAGAAACCATCCGTCCCGCTAGCATCCACACGAAGCGCTGTGCCAAGGCCTTCGTCCAGCAGCCCGGACAGCACACAGTGGAGCAGTTACAGGGGCTGTTGAGTGAATGCTCCAAATACCATGGGCAACTCACTAAAGAGGCGGCCATGGGTGAGGGCAGCAATTCAACAACCTTTCAGTCATATTCACGTGGTGTCTTCTTGTGATTTTTTTTTAGGAGACAAAAACTGATTTATTTGTTAGCAAGACATGGTTATTTTAACCAGTATTGAGCATGTTAAAGGGATGAAAATGAAATGTTCTGTCATCATTTACTCGCTATCTTGTCATTGCAAACCTGTCTGACTCTTTCTGTCTTCTCTGGAACACAAAAGAAGATTTTTTTTTTGTCCATATAATGAAAGTTATTGTGATTCAAAACAACATTAGACCCCATTGATTTCCATTGTATGGACAATTTTTATTTTTTATTTTTATTCCACAGTCACACAGGTTTGGAACAACATGATGGTGAGTAAAAGGGATGAAGCATCAAAATTAGATCTTCAGGTCACTCTCAGCTTATTTCATCATTGTCATTGTTTCTTCTTTGTGTATTTTCATCTAGGTCAAGGGTTTGATCGCCATCTTTTCGCCATGCGCTACCTAGCTAATTTGAAAGGAATGGCACTGCCCAGTCTGTATCAGGACCCTGCATATGCCGCCATAAACCACAACATCCTGTCCACCAGTACTCTCACCAGCCCAGCGGTCAGTCTGGGCGGGTTTGCTCCTGTGGTGCCTGATGGTTTTGGAGTGGGCTATGGTGTCCATGATGAATGGATCGGATGCAATGTGTCCAGCTACCCTGCCAGAAATGTTCATGAGTTCCTTAAGTGCGTTCACAAGTCCTTGGAAGACATTTTTACAGTCCTTGATGGAAAATCCATTCATTGAAAGTGCACTTAATATTTTGAAGTTTATTAAAGCACTTAACGTATGGGCTAGTCTGAATGTAGTGCATTTATGTTTTACTTTTATTAGATAAGGTCTCAATGTTATTAGGTCTGTAGGTTTAAGGTAGAACTAATAAGCTTTGCACAAACGTGATTGCTTGATTTTAAACTCATACTAGAGTGATTGATCCAGAGAACTGATTATTGGTTGTGGGGTGTAGGCAATTTTATCCTAAAAACTATTCTTTTTAAAAATGTTGCTGTGTATTTCCCCCATGTTCAATTGTCAGTTTATTAAATGGCAATCATCTGACTATTTATCATCTTTAATTTTTTGGACTGCAGAATTCTGACTTGTTTAAAAAACATTTGCATTTTTTCACCAAATGCAGAATCACTGTAGTATACAAATAACTAAAAGATGACAGGTGTGCCTTATAAGAATGTAAGAACATGGAAAATGATGAATACTGTGATTGTAAATATTGTAATAAAGCTTAATAAAAATAGCATGCAGAATGAAATAGTTTCGCCATTACATACACTAACATTCAAAGGTTCGGGGTCAGTAAAATGTTTTGAAAATAAATATTTTTACTCCGCAAGGATGCATTAAATTAATCAAAAGTGACAGACTTGTAGATTGTTAAAAAAAAAAATTCTACTTCAAATAAATGCTATTCTTTTGAACTTTCTATACCTCAAAGAATTGTGAAAAAGTTTCAGCTTCCAGAAAAATATGCAGCACAACTGTTTTCAACATTAACTTGATCATAAGGACTGCTTCCTGAGCATCAAATCAGTATATTAGAATGATCATGTGACACTGAAGACTGGAGTAATGAAAATTCAGATTTGCCATCTTACATTTTAAAATATATGCAATTATTGCTGTTTTTACTGTATTTAATCAAATAAATGCAGCCTTGCCCTAGCCTGGTTAAAACCAGACCATTCTCAATTGTAACTGAGTTATGGTCTGGCAAAGCGTCATAGACAAATCATTTCCAGAGGGGCGTCACCAACGGACGTCGCAGATAGACCTAAAACCAATCAGGGGTGCGTTTCCCGAAAGCATCGTTAGCCAACTATGGTCGCAAGTTCCGTCGTTACCAATAGAGTTCAATGGGATTTGCGACCATGCTTGCGACCATAGTTGGCTAACGATGCTTTCGGGAAACGCACCCCAGAGCGATGAAGGAGATGACATATGCAGAGCGGTTGTGTTGTTCTTTGCTCGGTTTTTAACAAAAAGGAAACGTTCAAATAGCTTAAAACAGAAGCGATAGCTGATTCGAACGAGTGATGTTCGACGGCGGCATCCATCTTTGTAATGTAGGCTACAAAATCTGCTTCATAATCCCAGCGCTGTCGTCATCGTGTAAAGCGCGCCCCAACGTTTCTGATTGGTGCCTCGATTTCGGCGGATTGGAAATGGGTTTGAATGAGCTCTTTGCCAGACTAACTTTCAGAGCAAATCTAAATTTGATGGAAGTTGTCTGGGTTTTCCCAGGCTAACCTTGGCCAGCATAAAGAACCAGAAGTGTACATATTTGTTCTTCTATTTTGAAGCTCTTACACTGACGACATACCATTAAGGTGTAGAAAAGATCTTTTCAACATTTAAGAAATATGAAGCACATCAACAGTTGAACAAGTTTTTATTTAAAAAAAAAACAGCAAAACAAAGCAATATACAAATGTTGAAAATAGCTCAAAGTCAAACAATAAACTAAAACATTACTTTCATCCAGAATAAAAGCAACTAGGCAGTTAGATGGGCTTGATTTTGAAGTGGAGGCCGATGAGACTGAATACGAGGCATTTGAGGTCCTGGACCAGGTAGTAGAAGACTCTGAGTCCCTCCGGATCCCTGAAGAGCCAGATTGCAAATGTTACTCTCTTGTAATACACATTACAAACAGTAAAACCACAGAGTGGGGCGCATTGCTTGAGAATATAAAAGTGAAAGCAATAGAATGTATGACAATACTAAATAAATGAAGCAGAATAGATCTAACAGTACATTACAATAAATCATTTGTGTTACTGCAATGCCATGTTTCAAGATTTAAGACAGTAGTGCAGAAGAGATCAAGAGGAGATTGTTTATGAACTAAAGAGTCCATCCATGAAATAGACTTACTTGGACTGGTTGACATCAATTAAAGATCCAATTTTGGAGGTTGTGAACGAAATGTGTTCATCACCGATGACAATCTCCAGTTCCTATGAAGCACAAAGAAGAGCAATTAGGATGCTGAGCATTACACCTCACATGGTGACCAGAACAAGAGTAAAGAAATTGCAAAATATGTTCCTACAAACCTGTCGGCCGACTCTGTCTGGAGGGGGCCACAAGGCATCATCTTCTTTTGTGATCTCACTGTCGTCAATGATTCTCTTCAACTCTTCCATCACGCTTTTATGTACATAAGCCTGAAAGAGGGAAAATCTTGTAAGTTACACAACCTACTTTTCAAAATGCTTCAAATTACAAAATATTGTATGTGTTACGTCATCATGTAGCTGACTTTACCTCTTTTCGGATCATGACATCGTTCTTGTAGTTACTGTTGTTTGCATATCTCAGCTTTCCTGAATGAAAACAAAACGATCTATTCATATTACATGAAAGCTACTTATGAGAATATTTAAGTCACTTTGAAATATTCTATCATAAAAACAACAATTTCTCACCAGAAACATTTATAAAGTTAAACTAATTAAACTCAATATATCAGACTGGCAGTTAAGCACTTAAAATGTTGTTTAACATGTTAATTCGTTTATCTACAGAAACAAACCCACTAATTTGTCATGACTAAACAAATTAACAAGTAACAAAAAAATGTTTTCGGCCTGGTATGAAAGCAAGCACAGATTTCAATAGAAAGGCTGTTAGCATTTAGCAAGCTAAAGTTGGCGCCTCGCTTACCGTCCGGTCTGAATTCAAATTCCAAAAATTCGTGGCCGAATTTACCTTTATGGCCCACATAGTACCTCAAATAAAAGTCACTCGTGGACATAGCTGCACAGTAAAGATATATATATATATCTCTCTCTAAATTACCGCACGAACACACTTCCTTCAATGAAACGCTTTAGCTTCAACGACCAATAAGAAATCGCATGCGTACTGCAGGTCGCGGTATGACGTCGCGTACCGGTCGCATAATGATGATGCTGCAACTCGGCTTTTTTTTTTTTTTTGCAACTGGGCCTAATGCAGTTGACTAAAAGCACAACATGACCCCCATGAACCTGTTAGTGTTGCTGTATTCTTTCATGGTGTTTTTGTTCTAATCTGAACCATTGTGTACTTCTGTCCAGCTTGCAATAAAGTTCTTAAAAGAGAGGGATTTACAGACTTGTTTTCTCTCATGCAAGAAAATGTTACTACAGCACTCAGGTGGCCATGTGTTGAATTGAGGCAATGAACGTGGGTACAAAAACTTTTTTATTCAGCTTTGCTATCAACCACTTTGTTATGCAACTTTGTGTGATTGTTTACACATTTACATGATGATACAGTTGTCATGGATTTATTAAACCACAGAGACATTAAAAAGGAAAAAAAGCCCATATCCAGCTTCAAGAGTAACATTTTAAGATAAAGTGTTATTAATACTCATTGCAATAGACATTGCAATGTCACAGAAATGCTGTTTTAAAGCCTTGCAACTGTAGTTCTATTTGGTCCAACAACAAAAGCATGCAGTCTTTTCCAGTTTTAGTATGGTTTGGCTTTCTTTGTATTTTGCACCCTTTTTGCAAGCACCAACACTCAAAGGCATCAATAATGAACATAGGCTAATGATACATCATGCAGAACACCACTTTTTTTAAATCCCTTTCAACACCACTCCTCTTCACACAAGACAATGTTCCAGGCTATGATTTCTTTCTAATGTCAACATAAATAGGTCACATATTCTGGTAAAATCAGTATTTGCTATAATCAGAGACAGTAGTGTGGGAACCAACTAATTGATTGCACATTAAACAATGACAATAGTTTAAATATTTGGAATCCCACAAATTTCAGTAAAAACAATGCTGTATTTGCATCAATTTCAGTCAAGTAGGATTACACACTGGGTGTGCAAGTTGGTAAGATGACAATGAGATGAAATCATGATTTCATTCAGGGATGAATTGTGTGGTTGAGTGAAAATAATTGTTTGTGAGGTGTACTGCATTTTTGAAAGCTGGTGTTTAAATCTGTGCTAATATATCAAAACCCTGACAAGAGGTATTAATATCTCTGTTCAACAGCCTGGATGTTTGAGCAACCAAGTGTTGTTTAGAAAAGTAATATTTACAATATTTAGCCAATGTAAAAAAAGGAACAGCCTGTAATTTCACACGCAAAAATGCTATGATGGCACAAAATTTGTTGCAGAGGTTTCAAACTGGTCCTTTTGAAACATCTGGTAAGACATCTCAAATTAATTTATGACCATGCTGATTGAATCAAACATATAATACCTTAATGAGACCAAGGCCCAGACGTCAACAAAAGATTTGTAATAACTTGTGCAATTTTGGCCCAGTTTTCAATTTTCAAATGCCTTTGACAACTAAATAAGTATTTAATTTGCAAATTTTTTTTTTTTTGCATCTAGCCCAGATATAAATGATGATTAAATGTAATAACCTGATGTTTAGATGACGTCAAAGAGAATCGATCATATTCAATAAAATAAATATTCACATTATTCAATAATGGATCATTTAGAATTTTCTACATACAATTGTAGATGAGTCACCCTGTATAATAGCAGCAATGTGAAAGAATAAATAAAATATAAAACGTTATTTTGAATAAGAACAGTACGCAGATAAATGATTAACCAATTTTAAGTGAAAGATTTCAAGATCAAAGGGAAGATATATGGGGTTTAAAGGTTGGATTGTTCAGGTTCACATCTCTGCATGATATCAGAGTGCCTTGAATTGGCTTTTTTGTAGCTCGAAAATAAAGAAAACCGAGCTACAGGGGGAAATATGTATTGCGTATAAATAGAATTAAACTGCTTAAATTGTGAACATGTATGCTGAAAAACACAAAGTTAACTCTTTGGTGAGTTTGTCAGTGGCATCATGGTGTAAATATTATGGGTAATCTGGTCATCTATGATGAAGTCACAACACAGTGGTTAGATTAGTTTAAAAACTGACCAAAAAAAAGAAAAAGAAAGAAAGAATAGAAAACAAGAGAAAAAGCATCGCAAAGGATAAAGAGACTGAGAATACCATTCAAGTAAGCATCTCCATTTGTATAAATGCTTCTCACAAGTCTAATTAAAGAGAATCATAAACTGAGTGTCAAATTGCAGTATTAGAGTCAAGGATACAGTGCATAGTATATGAACAAATCTCTTGACAAATAGATCGCTATTAATGCTAACACTCCAAAGCAACGCTGCACAATCAACCACTGGACATGGTTTTGAAGTACATGACCATTCTGAATGAGGATCAGTTGGCATCTCTGTAAATATTCTAGAGGTGCCAGGAGTCTGTGTGGCCACTGTATGTAACACTCAAAAGGGCTTCAATTGCAGTTCAGAACCAAGTATGATAAATGTACAATATATATGGACATAACAAGCCAATTTAGTCTTGCTTAGTTTTAGCCTGATTACTGCCCTTTATTTTAGAGTTGTGGGCTCTGATGTTTTCTTATATTAAATGTAGAATACAGTTCTTTCTCTTTCCTTTTAGGATAAAACTGAGTTTATGTTTTCATTTGTAGTAACTACACCCTGAGAGGCCTGTTGTGACCAAGCAACACTGCCTGAATTGTTCAAGTGCAATGGAGGAATAAATGTTTATCCTTCAGCAAGAAACACTGATCTTAGGGACATCATATCAATAATGCCAGAATACTAAAAACTTATTCCATTACTGACAACCAAGAACAAAAAAGGAATTTTAAAACATTGATTGTTTTTGGCCTCAAAAGGGTTTTCCAGGGATGCAAAAAAAACACAAAGGGTTCTTTAAATAAATTTACAAATGTAGTCCTTTCTGATAGAAAAAACGATTAACAAAGAAAATATTAATAATTTAAAAAAAATTATGTTCAATCCTTATTACCATGGAGTTATGAAATATTTAATTATTTGCATCCCCCCTTTTATTCAATAAAACTACTCTCAAAATGAAATGCTAAAATAAATAGTGAGGAAATATCCATTTTGACCTTTAACAATCACAGAACTAGAAGTTTATCTTTCTAACTCCTAAAACATCAAGTGTAGCCAGTCCAAAAAACAAAACAAAAAAACATAAAGGAGGAAATAGAATGAAATAAAAGGCAGTCTTTGAAATTCTTGAATTTGTGATTCTTTTTGTCTTATACAATGTTGGCTAATTAACAAAATGCACAAGCAATCCTTTTTTCTCTTGCATCCATCCTTCAAACATTCATTCTCTCCTGCATTCCCTGATGTCCTGGTATAGGGCTGGTCAATGTGGCCTGCTGCTGGACTCTGAGGGATGCCGTTTACGCGGTGTGTTGTGGCCGTTGAGGTATCCATTCAAGCGTTTGTTCAAGCCACCATTCAGAATATCCTGAATGTGCTGCACTATCAAATTTATGGCAACTAGAGAGAGAGAGAGAGAGAGAGAGAGAGAGAGAGAGAGAGAGAGAGAGAGAGAGAGAGAGAGAGAGAGAGAGAGAGAGAGAGAGAGAGAGAGAGAGAGAGAGAGAGAGAGAGAGAGAGAGAGAGAGAGAGAGAGAGAGAGAGGAGAGGGAGGGAGGGAGGGAGAGAGAGAGAGAGAGAGAGAGAGAGAGAGAGAGAGAGAGAGAGAGAGAGAGAGAGAGAGAGAGAGAGAGAGAGAGAGAGAGAGAGAAAGTTAAAGTGATGTAAGTGATTTAAAGTGATGTAAAACCACTTTACATGGTTTGTTTACAAGTCGCTGTGTATTAAAAAAAAATTATTTGCGTCATACAAATTTGTCATATACAGTATGTTGGGGTGTGTGTGTGTGTGTGTGTGTGTGTGTATATATATATATATATATATATATACACAAAAAAACATTTTCACTTGTTTCACATGTACTAGTCTAGTACATGTGAAACAAGTGATACAATTATTTTGTGTTTTGGAGTGCTGGCCTTGATAGGCACCCTCAAACATTCCTATTTTCAAAACAATATATGTATATGATAAACCGTTCCAAAACATTTCCATTTCCATCTCCTCTATTCCATGGTAAAATCTAATAGCACATTTGGACAAACATTCAAAATCTCACCCAGATTATCAGCTCCCCTTGGAATGATCACATCAGCATACTTTTTTGTCTGAGGGAGAGAAAAAAAATTGGACAACAAAAATTAAGAGAAGCCCTGAAAAGAAAAATTCTATATGATCAACAACAACAGTCCACTGGGAAAATATTTCACCACCTGTTTCCTCATTCTCACGAAATACATTCTCACGTAACCTGAAAGACTTATATTGGATCCATATATCAATGAAAAAAAATTGAGCTAAAAAAGATATACTCTATATAAATAAAAATTTATATTTAATTTCCATTTATATAAAAACAAAATAGAAGGACCATTTATAATATATTTGGTACAAAAAAAACCTATGTAAGGTTGTTTTGCAATTCATTGTATCATATCACAATATTACTGTTTTTACTGTATTTCTGATCCAATTTCTGTATTTCTCAGCCTGAGTGAGCACAAGAGACTTCTTTCAAAAACATGAAAAATATATGGCAGCGGTAATGGTAGCGTGCGTGTGTAAATTGATAAAGTAAACACCATTAATTAATAAATACATACATGCATAAATAAAAACTACTAATTCCAAATAGTAGGTCAGCATACATGGCAGAGAGTGTAAAACTTACTGGCAGACAGAACTCCTCGAAGGCAGGCTTAACAAATGTTATGTATTGACTTAGCACTTGCTCTAGGTCACGGCCTCTCTCACTGATGTCTCTCAGGACTATGTGCAGAGGGGAATGAGATGAGAAAGAGCGAGAATTGAAAAATGGGAATCAAATTGCACAGAAACACATAGCCCTATCACTACCACATTATGAATGTTTTTTTGAGATCCATTGATCTTGATGAAACCCACACACACCTCTGCGTGACAGGCGTGTATCTGCATCCGTATCCACAAACAGCTTCATCTGAAACAGATCTCGGATTTCTTGCGAATAAAACATAAGAATGCCTTCAAATAAAACCACGTCTGCTGGATAAACAGCAACCGTCTCTTCTTTCCTGCATATGTGTAAGGAAAACAATCTGTTTGTTCAGGTATTTCCTGCATCCTGAAACATTTTTATGTAACATCAAGATAAGGCCTGTTTCACATTGCACTCAAGTAGTGTAAGCCAAGAAACAGCAGTTACAATTAGTATTGAAACTGCTACTTTCCTGGAACCACTCAATATGCGCACCAAAATAAACACATGCTTCTTACACATTGCTTTCATGTGTGGTTCTCACATAGATACAAACATATCCACACATAAAAACAATACAATACAATGATAATAGGTTAAAGGGTTAGTTCACCCAAAAATGAAAATTCTGCCATCATTTACTCACCCTCATGTCATTCCAGACCTGTATGACTTTGGTTAATCTTCAAAACACAAATTATAACATTTTTAATGAAACCTAGGAGGTTTAACCTAGTAAACTTAGAAGATGCAAAAAGGTCATAAAAGAGTCGTGGAACAAATACGAATCAAACGGTTTAATCCAAGTCAAGATTTAATTTAGGCTTTTTGTGTTTCGAAGATTAACCAAAGGGTTTGTAGTAATGATGAATTTACTCAGAAATATTATTTTTGAGTGAACTATCCCTTTAAGCTATCTAAACTGTTCAAATGTGGTCTGAACTGACCTTGAATGGGTAACAAAGTCGTAGACTGGAATTTGGACCGTTCTTCCCTCCATGATATCACACAGGGTTTTGACTATCAACTCATTATCAAACGCATCTGTGAGATGGAGTAAAAGAGGGTCAGTGAGACAACACAGAATTTGTTCTAAGGTTTCCTGATCCACAGGACGTGGGAAATCGAGAACAAGCAAAAAGGTGATAAACCACTTGCGCAGCTGCAGAATGAGTGTGTTTGAGGGTGGCTGAGTCAGGCAGACAGTCACTCACACACTCTCTCACAATACAAAAAGCAAACATAAAGAACCATACATTTGTAAATAATAATTTGAAATAATATAAACTAAAATTATATCAATGTAACATGAGCTTTTCAAGCTCTTTTACCTGGGTGGTCAAAGTTAAATTGTCCTTTTAGAGCCTTGGCCTTTTGTTCGGGGGTCAGTACCCTGTAGAAACTGTCCTGACTGAGGATGGCCACCTGCCTCTGGTGATGGTCGATCTTATTCTGGCCAAGGAGCTCCATAATCTTCCCACAAACTGATGACTAAAAAAAAAATAAGAAAGGATTGTAGTTCAGCACAGTTCAGTTAGTAATCTTCATTAAAACTGAAATTCTTACAAAATGGCCAAAAATTAAAGGTTAAGTGTGTAATTCCTGTGGGTGGCCACTAAACTTGGTTAAGGAACTGATAATGGTTTTGTATTCAGATCTAAATAATAATATTAATAATAATACAAGATATTGATTATTTTCATGGTGTTCAGTTCCATTCAGGGGCACATTGTTTTTTTTTTAACAGTTCTGACACCTCGTCCTCAGACTTTGAGCAATTTAATTTGCATTAAATCAGTTGGATTAATCTGACTCACTCACTGAACCGCACATCATTAATTTCATCATGACAAAACATGAATGAGAACTAAGAACTGATACAGTGTTACATTGAACAGTATTAAGTCACCATGAAATAAAAAATGATTCTTATTTTTATGGAACATTGCAGTATTATAATAATGATTTATCGAAGCACATCATAATTTCTTTTTAAAAACATGTGCCCATAATCAAGTCAAGTCATCTTCATTTATATAGCGCTTTTAACAATGGAGATTGTTTCAAAGCAGCTTTACAGAGATAAACATACAATTTACGGTAACAGAGATTGTTTTGGCTTTATAGCGATTTTGAATAATGTTATTTCGGCTAAAGTTGGTTTTGATTGATTCACTTCCAGCAAAATTATCATTTGTTATTACATTAGGGGCCACTAAGACGACGGCGTTCTCTCTAAACAGACTTTAAACGCAAACCTGTGACCGGATGGCGTTCACATAATCTAAATAACTTCCCCTCTCCCTTCTATGGTGACGTGTTTACTGGCTCGAGGGCGGGACAACCTGTCACTCACATGAGATCACAGCAATGACAAATCACAACAATCATATCAATTTGTGATGGATAAAATTAAGTCCCACCCTACATTTTTTCTTGTTCTAGAGAAGTTTCACTCGGATTTACATAAAAATAGGGAAGCAAAGACTATCGCAATTTCTATTTCATGCGACTTTAAGGCTAATTAAACATTCAAAGTATGAGTATTGTTAGTGACATTTTGACACAAAACAATGACATACATTAAATATAAATATCACAAAAAAATCTTTCAGTCATTACTTTCAAAAGCAAAAATCACACCACCCACATTCAAGGCATAAACACAGGACTGTATTTCTTCAATCTGTTTTATCTTTTTAATAGGCATGTATATTATTATATTAACAGAGCAAGGACTATAACCTACCAACACATACACACAGACAAACAGGTGACACACCATGTACAAAAAAAATACCACACAAACCATGATCAGTTACGAAAACACACAGGTGTTTGTTCACATTGTCACAGAGATTTCAGCAGCACCTTGAAAATGTCTAGTACACTGACTATCTTCATAAAAACTGATCTATATCCCCAAGGCAGTCTACTAATAAAAACCATCATATGATATATTACATGATATGGAGGAAGGAGTCACACCCTGATGAGCCCAGCACAAAAGAGAGAGAAATAGCATTAAAATGTACAAGGTCTATGGTGTACCTTTTCAAATTGCTGACTTTATCATGATGAGAAGTATTAATACTCTAGCACATCCTCAATTCAGAAAGGGTACACACTATGCAAAAATGACTAAACTTAGACACAAAGTCATTTGATGTATGACATCAAATAAAAGCTACTATTATGAAAGACCAGAAAGTATAACTTAGTGATCGACCGATAATCAGTTTTGCTGATATTTTCCCGATATTTACAGGTAAGCATTTTTCCATTATCATGTATCGGTTTTGTTATATCGGATTCACCGATAATTCACCATTTTTATTTTTTGCACTCTTTCAATCCCTTTATTTACTAAGTGTGTTTTGTTATGTATGCAAAAAGGCAGTGAAATTACAGAAATTATAGCACAGAAAAAAAAAAAAAAAAAGTGTTAAGACAGTTTTGTTCAGTTCAGTGCTGTTATAACAGTCAAAAAAAGAAATAATATGTATCGGTTCTATATATCGTTTTTTGGGTACACAAATATTCAGTATTGGTAACAGTTAAAAAAGTCAATATAGGTCGATCTCTAGAACACTCAAAACCACATGCGATGAGTTCAGATCAGCAGATCATGTAAAGACACAACCACACGCCAATAAAGAGACAGGCCGCAGTGCAGGCATCTCCCACTGAATCCTTCGGAGTCTGATGAAACCCTGCTGTATCTAACCTATGAGTATGCGCTAAAATGTCTTGCAAAGCTATCCCTCACCAGCTGCAATGCTGCCTGCCAGTCCCTCAATCCATTTAAAGCATAATCTACAAACAGTTCAAGCTGTCCCAAGCCCTTTATAAGAAGCTACACACATATACACCAAGCATTTGTAAAACAAAAACAGACATCCTCTGCTTCAAGGCCTTCATGTCTTTCAAAACACAATGCATTTCTGACTTAAGAGTTACGGAAAGCACTGACTTTTGTCACTCGCACACAAAATTATCACAGCTCTGCTCAAACATTCATTGCATTAACTTTGTGTTGCATATAGTTTTGTGAGAATTTTACCTGCCTCACAATAACTTACAATCACCAAGAAAACAACTCTTCTTATATTTATAGCCAATTTCAACTTCAACATATTTAAGTGGTGCACTCTTATTTACACCATGTGCAATTCAAATGGACAAGCAGCATGTTGAACAATGCACAATAAAGCACTTACTGGTAACAAGGTTCCATTTGCTACCATTAGTTTTCCACTGTGTTTAAGTCTTGCAAAAAGAAGGGAAAAAAAGAGCTCAAACACTTCTTTGACATTTGATGGTACTGTCTGTGCCCAAAATCTATGAACCTCAAGCCAAAGTAGCTTCCAACCCAGTTCACATCCCTCTTTCAGTTACATATCTTCTCTTCTCTGATGGCTTGTTTAACGGTGTGAGGGCAGGATAACCTGTCACTCACAAGAGATCATCAGCAATAGCAAACCACAACAATCCATTGATCCAATCATGATGGTCAAAATTAAGTCCCACCCTACATTGTTTTCTTGTTCGAAAAGCCGTTTCACTTCTACGTCACAACAATAGGAAAGAAAAGACTATAGCAACTTCTGTTTCATGCAGACTTTAATTCCCAAGCATTTTTGTGTACCTAACAAGCTAAGCTGCAGTTTAGAAATGTAATGCGAATGCTACCTAAAGTGCACCTATAGTGGGTTGTATGATGTATGCTCTCAATGCAAAGAAATGGCTGCATTAAACAGAACTTGACAGAAGCTTTCTAGAGCAGATCCAGGATGTAAACAAACTGGTGTCCTAAAACAGCACACTGAGAGGAGAGCATAACATATTAGCAGCACTGGGCAAAACATTAAGGGTCTACATGGCCAAAGGAATGATAACATACTGCTTGAGGGAGTCTATACAGTCAAAGCATTTTCACTGAGAAAATAGACTACACGTTCTCCAGCAGTGTGGTAGAGAGAAACCTGCACACCTGACAGCTGGGAGATATAGCAGTCACAACATAAGCAAACAAGATAAGCTAACGGAAGAAAGGAACAGACAAGTTATGTACAGAGACCATTTAAATTATGACTAAACAGAGTGGTCATTAAATACACTGTAATAAATGGTGACTTAAACTTCATTACCGTTGGTCTTTCCAGCAACTATGGCCAATAATAACATAAAAACTGTTACCCACACATTCACAACAAAATCTTGCACACAAACATAACACTAAAGTCTAGATTTTGACATGCTACCAAGTCATAATAAATTGAAATTATGAAATAATAATGACATAAATCTAAATTATGAAAGAAGTCAAAATTGTGACATTAAGAAGTAGAATGAAATACTAAGTCATAATTATAAAATAAGAAGTAGAAATTGGCATACTTAGTCATAGTCAAGATAATTATGATTTAGCCTACAAAAGCATGTTTAAAAAAAAAAATTGGCTTCCATAGGTTACATAAAAGAAAAATACGACTAAAATACATAAAGCAATATGTATATAACTGATGTCATTCAAAAATTAAATTACATCAGTTACTTGCAGTGGTGTTCTCGATCTCTCCTCTCTCTCTCTCTCTCTCTCTCTCTCTCTCTCTCTCTCAACAATCCTCTCTCTCTCTCAACAATCTATCTCTCTCTCTCTCTCTCTCTCTCTCTCTCTCTCTCTGTGTGTGTGTTTTTGTGGTATGGCATTGTAACTTTAACCATTTTATTGTAGCATTTTACTTTAACTTTACAGTTATACTATTTATTCCCTACACACACACACACAAAAAAAACACTACGGGAAAATATGATCTATAAATATTTAAAATGACAACTAAAACAAATCGAAAACAAACACTTCTTCATTGGAGCAGCTGTCTTGACGTATCACTGCGTACGCACGCACGCCGCCTTTACGCACGTAAATGAGGTAAGATGTGACACATTCGCTGTGCCGCTGACCCCAATAACGTTAACTAACAAAAGCTCCGCGATTATTCTTCTTTATCGTCCACATTCAGGAGTTATTTGTGTTTAACGCTAATTACACATATATAACCTGTTATCTCATTCTCTGATATCACACACACCATTAGCCCATGAAACAAAGACCGTTCTTTGTGCTTGTAGGCTATAACTGTTATCCTAGCGGACAATGCTTCATTCATTCACATATAATAACTATAACCGCAAAGTTAGACTTTCCTCACACCACGTTGTAAAGTAAAACTGTAATTAGGGTGTTCGCCAGCGGATGGGATTTTACTGAATCTGATGGAATGTCAGAGCGATTGTGGTGATTTACCCGGCGCAAGTTTCATGCTGTTTTCTAACAACAAAGACAGACGTGGTATTTTGCTTCGATAGCCTACAACGCCTGATCCACGACAATCCTGTTACTTTTCGCAAATTAATTAAACTGGCTCTTGAGCACTTCAAAAGAAAATAATAGTAACGATTATGCTTATTAATAAGTTGGTATACGTCCACCATCGCCATGGTGTTTGTATGGCGATGGTGTGTGGGAGCTGTCTATTGGGAAATTACCAACATCTTGTTTTTAAGGGATATATATATAAACTATTCAATATATTCTCACTGAACGTGTATTTCAGTTTTAAAATAGCCTACTAGGCTACCATAATGTATTAGTTTTTCCTTTCGTCTAAATACGTAAAGTTGATTTAAAAAAAATAAAAATAAGATCACTTAAATGCTAAAAGTCTACATGCCCGTTTTTGCATCGGACCTGTCAAACCATCTCGGGGAATAAAATACATTTTCACACTGGTGATACCGTGACAATGAGCCACGCGGTCAGTGTGCGCTCATCTCATCTCTGTGACAAACACAAAATCAAACGATAACTAATATTCATGTAAGGTAAAGCAGAATGCCAACCTTGCCGCTGGCAGTGCCGCCGGCTACCCCGATGAGGAAAGGTTGTCTGACAACATGCTCATTTTCGGCTTGGTTGTCCAACTTGCTGTCGCTGTCTCCTGCCATGCTGTCAGTGCGCGCTGAGAGCCTGAGACTCTGGGCTGCTTTTACCACGGCAAGCAGCGGCTCCTCCTCCTCCTCCCCTTCTTTTCAATTGTGTCTATCCTTTTCCTTTGCCCTTTGTGTGTGCAATTACATTTGTTAGTTGGAATTCTTAGATATCCAGATAGTAAGAAAGTATGAAAAGTTTGAAAACATCAGCATTCAATTCTAATAGTGTGTGTGTATAGATAGATATTATATTATATTTTATTTAGATTAGATAGATATTATATTATATTATTAAATATATTATGGGGCAAGTTGTCAGAATGGAACCTGCCAGCTAAATTTAAGCAGACAAAAACAAGTATGAAACACAAAACAATTAATGAAAAAGTACAATCTGTACTGTATTTGTGGACTATCCACAAATATCTGGCAGTACCTTGTGTCTTTCAAATCATCCCTTATCAGTCTCAGTCATGTACTAATCCATTTTCAATAATAACATTTGACTGAAATGTTTTTTTTTTAAAGGAAAGCTAAATGAAATCATTTTAGAGGTTTAGAAATTATGTTTGAAATGTTTTTTAATCAAATCTTTAAACCTTTTAACAATCGCAGTACACTAGAGTCCTGCCGACTTTATATTTTTGTACTTATATGAGAGAGTGAATTGTTAATAATATAACTCAATGTAACAATGCACATTAAGAAAAAATGAGGTATAATATGAATAAAGTGTCATCACATTACAAAAACAATTAAACGAGAGCACAGGCTCACAACTGCCATATTTGTTTCAATGTGGATATATAACTTACAATGTAACAGTAGCCTAAATGGTTAAAAAAAGATTTAATCAAAGAATCAGAATCAGAATGAGCTTTATTGCAAAATATGTTTGCACACACAAGGGATTTGTTTTGGTGACAGAAGAAGCTTCCAGTACAAAGACAACAATACACCGATATAGTAAAATAAAAAATAAAGATTTATGTAAATAAGACACATATGTATAAACATAATAGACCAATTTGTATGTACAGGTGTGCTATATACAAATAGAATTAGCAGGGAATGGAATAAGAAGAGGTAGGGTATTGCCAAATAAATATAAGTGATATTGCACATTATCATTGCATAGTGGGGAGAACATTAACTGTTTATTGTCTGAAAGAAGAAACTTTTTTTTTCTTGTGCTTGCATGGCTGTTCTGATGCTCTGTAGCCAGATGATAAAAGTTTAAAGAGAAGGTGGCTTGGATGTGAGGGATCCAAAGTGGATTTTCTGAGCCCCCTTTTCTCACTCTGGATGTAGGCTATACAGTTCTTGGAGGGGAGCACCAATAATCTGCTCAGCAGTCCGAATCATCCCAGTCTTCTGATGTCTGATTCTGCAGAGGACAGACTCATTGACTGCTGAGAAGAACTGCATCAGCAGCTCCTGTGACAGGTTGAACTTCCTCAGCTGGCGAAGGAAGTAGTCTCTGCTGGGCCTTTTTCACCATGGCATGGATTGTCCATGGATTGTCCCACTTCAGGTCCTGAGAGATGGTGTCGCCCAGGAGCCATAGGGCTGTTCATGATAGTTACTGGGGGGAGTGCTTGGGGGTTTCTCCTAAAGCTCACTATCATCATTATCATCATCAGAATTGTCATTCTGTCCCGTGCATGCCGGCTGATATTGCCGGGTCACTGCCACTAGTGGGAGATGTGGTGTCATGAGTTCATAGCTCAAACACATTCAGCACCCACGAGGAAGCCGGGCGCACATTGATGACATCACCACAGTAATGCTGACGCTGCTACAGTAGAGGTTATCGCCCAACCAAAGTATTAACTAGTATTATTATCGTTTCCTAATCGTTTTTCCAAAATGAGCACAATGTTTGCAGATACTATTCTAATCGTGTTCATATCTATTTGCACAGCATTATTAGCGGAAGGTATGTAAATGCTATCTTGAAATTCAGGTTTACATGTCTGAAAACGTATCGAGTGTCTAGGAAAATGTCCTAAGCTCAGCAAATACAGGACAAATGCTTTAGCTCAAATAGTGCTGGATAACCGTTTGCTTTGCTCTGTTTCTACAGGAATAACATGGGTTCTGGTGTACCGCACAGACAAATACAAGAGATTAAAGGCTGAGGTTGAAAAACAAAGTAAAAAACGTAAGTTGTATGAATGAATTATGTGTCCTTTGCATTAATTTAATCCAAGTGACCATTGTTTAAAATTGTGCAATATGTTTTAGTGGAGAAAAAGAAGGAGACAATTACAGAATCAGCTGGGCGTCAACAGAAGAAAAAAATTGGTAAGATAGTTAAAATTATTATTACAATTATAAAACTAATTTGTAAAGCTATTATTATTATAAGTAAAATAGTAAATAATAATAGTTATTGTTATTAACAAAGTACAAATTCAATTATTATAATGCAACATGGCTATTGGTCCTCAATGAAACATAAATGACTATAATGTCTTCAACAGAGAGACAAGAGGAGAAACTGAAGAACAATAACAGAGACTTGTCTATGGTATTCTAATATTTCTATTCCAATTCTCAAATTTATATCATATTTCTTATGTTGTGTTATTTTTTATTAATTCCCATAGTGAATGTGATCTGTTTAACAAGTTTTTTTTTTTTATTTAATGGCATTGTATTAAAGATATTTTAATTGCAGGTCCGGATGAAATCGATGTTTGCCATTGGCTTTTGCTTCACTGCTTTGATGGGCATGTTCAATTCCATGTAGGTAGACTCATTCGTTGCATTATCAGAGGCGCTTTGTTATAAATGTTCAATAATATCTTAGGCTAATAGTAGTTTGATTTGCTAAAGTTACCTGAAATGGCCAGCTACTTAATTTATGTGCTTTTAAACACCGTTTTTTTTCTTCAATTCCAGCTTTGATGGTCGTGTTGTGGCCAAACTTCCATTTGTCCCATTGTCGTATATCCAAGGTCTCTCACACCGTAACCTCCTTGGTGAAGATTACACCGACTGTTCCTTCATCTTCCTCTACATCCTGTGCACCATGTCGATTCGACAGGTAATGTTTATCTATTGTTTATATATTATTTCTTCAGTGTTTCTGTGAGTGAATGGGGCAAAATCCAAGTTGTAAAAATGTAATAGCAGTTTTGAGGGAAGAGTTTCAACTTTGACACTGTTCAGTTCAGTTGTTTGTTTTATGTAATGCATGCCCTAACTTTTACCAATTTTAATTTCAGAACATCCAGAAGATGTTGGGTCTCGCCCCCTCCCGTGCCGCCACCAAACAGGCTGGAGGATTTTTAGGACCTCCTCCACAAGCTGCCAAGTTTTCATAAACTTTTGTAGTGAGGTACCAAAAAAAAAAGAGACACTCAGCTGTACATTGTGTGAGCAACACTCAGTGTGAGAGTATGACAGCCAGGTTGTGCAGCTACCGATACCTGTGATGACCACAGAAGTCATGTACATTTGTGTTGTTGTTTTTTTTCAGGTAAATTTATAACGTATGTACCCCCAATTCTAACAGAAAATGCTTGAGCAAAGGTAGTTCTGAATGTAAATTTAGTCTTAAGAATTTCTTTAAACCTTTTTGTTGCTCAGAAGGCTAAAAATATTCTTTGTTGAAACTAATATTATTTTATGATTAATTACAAGCAATATTAATTCATAACATTCATAATGAAAATTTGAGAGAATAGTTTCACCCGTGGATTCTGTTTATCAATTTTTAATTGTCTGTTAACGTTTAAGTTAAAGGATTTTTGTGAGTTTAGATCTTGTGCATTTGTTCTTCTGTATTTTGTTTATGTCATTATTTAATGTTCAAATTACATTTGTGCAAAAATAAAATTGACTAAGCAAAGAGCTTCACAGTTTTCCTTTAAAAAAAAAATTGTATGGAAAATAAGGCACAGGCCCAAGTTGTCGTTTTGCAATTCGGAGTAAAGTTTTAGCCTTCTGTAATTATGCTGCAGTTTTCCCCACAGAATACATTTTTTTTTACTGTGAGTTACTGTTTCTTTTTATAATGTAGTCACAGATTGTTAATGTAGCTTTAATAATATCTGGATGGTGGATTGTTGTTTAGGCAGGTATGAAGATTGCATACATTTTACAGATGGTTGCAAAATGGACATTCAAGGTTTCATCAAAGACAAAGGTTTTCAGCAAAGACTAAAAGAACCAGACAGGTCCTCAGCACAGACCCTATGGCCAGCTTCGGCTCCATGCGCGCGTGATGAAGCCGATCTTTAAACAAAAGGACCTGGATGAATATTTGATTTCTGACTTGTGATGCTGTCTGAATCATAATCACCACAGTGTTTGTTCGTTGGCCAGAGAACTGGCCCCCAGACCGAACCTGGTTTCTCCCAAAGTTTTTTCTGAATTCTGTCACTTGATGGAGTTTGGGTTCCTTGCCACTGTTGCCTCTGGCTTGCTTAGTTGGGGACACTTAATATTCAAAAAATATTATTGATTTGACTGTACTGACACTTGTGTGAAAACTGAACTGAGCTGACACATTATTATTATTTTCGCAGAACTGCTTTACAGGTTAAATGAACTAATTTAATAATTGATGAACTTTACAAAAGAACAGAATCAACACTTGAACAGCCAAAATGCAGATACAATGTGCTGACAAGTACATGTGAGAGAGAAAGCAAGACCGAAGAACAGCAGAGTTGCAGTGTATTCAATTTGAAGATGCATATCTGAATGTTTTGCGCAATTCTTGCCCTCTGGAACTTTGGCCAAAATATGTTGAAAGTAACCATAAAAATGTGGTCCAAAGGCGGTGCTTAAGGTAACATGCATATTTCATCCCACCCACCCCATTTAAGCAAGCAAATCACGGGGTCAGTTTGAGCAACCAAGTCGAAAACAATTGTAGAGACCTCCTCTTTTCGCCCCACAACCATAGAAGGCGAACGATCTACTTGTATTTTGTGCAGTAAACAGGTTGTTTTTGAAAAGGTAAGGAACTTGACCTTGAAACGAATTTTTAAGTGCGTCGTATGCAGTTCTTTTAAAATACTGTTGTTTTCATAGAATTAATGCATGTATTATAAATAATAATGCATCTAGATAAATTTGTGCTGCATTCTTATTCACGAATCGGTCTTACCCTTTCAATGACCTGTACAATTGGCGTTTCCCCGTTGTGGACCTGGCAGTTGGTGACTGCGGTCACGCCATCTGTGCTTCAGAAAAGCACGGTCACGCCATCTACGCTTAAAAATATATTGCGCGTCTACACGAGGTTGCGTGGTAGGTGTATGCGGTGGCTGTCGGCTGACTTTTGAAAAAATATTCATAATAAAATAAATAAAATCAAATTGTTTTTAGCAAACTCCACCAGATTCTTGTTCTACATATCACAGACTACGACTGTGGTGATTTTCATGTTGATCTACTGTTTTATTATTTAATAATTGTCTGTCAAAGTCCCGTACTGTATACCTTGTTATACAGCAATATTTGATAAATTCATAAAAAAATCAAATCAAATTGTTTTCTGCCAATTCCACCAGATTATTGTTCTTCATCTCATTGACTACCACTGTGGTGATTTTCATGTTGTTCTACTGTTTTATTATTTAATAATTGTCTGTCAAAGTCCTATACTGTATACCTTGTTATAAAGCAATATTTAATAAATTCATAACAATTTTAAATCAAATTGTTTTCTGCAAATTCCACCAGATTATTGTTCTACATCTCACTGACTACCACTGTGGTGATTTTCATGTTGATCTACTGTTTTATTATTTAATAATTAACTGCCAAAGTCCTATACTGTATACCTTGTTATACAGCAATATTTCATAAGATCTTAAAAATGTTCAATCAAATTGTTTTCTGCCAATTCCACCAGATTATTGTTCTACATCTCACTTACTACCACTGTGGTGATTTTCATATTGATCTACTGTTTTATTCTTTAATAATTGTCTGCCAAACTCATGAATATTTACATTGCTATACAGCAATATTTAATAAATGAATAAAAAATCGAAATCAAATTGTTTTCTGCAAATTCCACCAGATTATTGTTCTACATCTCACTTACTACCACTGTGGTGATTTTCATATTGATCTACTGTTTTATTAGTTAATAATTAACTGTCAAAGTCCTATACTTTATACCTTGTTATACAGCAATATTTAATAAATTCATAAAATGTTTAAATCAAATTGTTTTCTGCAAATTCCACCAGATTATTGTTCTACATCTCACTGACTACCACTGTGGTGATTTTCATGTTGATCTACTGTTTATTATTTAATAATTGCCTGTCAAAGTCCTATACTGTATACCTTGTTATACAGCAATATTTCATAAATTCATAAAAAAAATAAAAAAAAATAGTTTTCTGCCATTTCCACCAGATTATTGTTCTACATCTCACTGTCTACCACTGTGGTGATTTTCATGTTGTTTTACTGTTTTATTATTTAATAATTACCTGCCAAAATCCTATACTGTATACCTTGTTATACAGCAATATTTAATAAATTCATAAAAAATGCTAATCAAATTGTTTTCTGCAAACTCCACCAGATTATTGTTCTACATCTCACTGTCTACCACTGTGGTGATTTTCATGTTGTTTTACTGTTTTATTCTTTAATAATTGTCAGCCAAACTCATGAATATTTACATTGCTATACAGCAATATTTAATAAATGAATAAAAAATCGAAATCAAATTGTTTTCTGCAAATTCCACCAGATTATTGTTCTACATCTCACTGACTACCACTGTGGTGATTTTCATGTTGATCTACTGTTTTATTATTTAATAATTGCCTGTCAAAGTCCTATACTGTATACCTTGTTATACAGCAATATTTGATAAATTCATAAATAAAAAAAAAAATTGTTTTCTGCCATTTCCACCAGATTATTGTTCTACATCTCACTGTCTACCACTGTGGTGATTTTCATGTTGATCTACTGTTTATTATTTAATAATTGCCTGTCAAAGTCCTATACTGTATACCTTGTTATAAAGCAATATTTAATAAATTCATAAAAATTTTAAATCAAATTGTTTTCTGCAAATTCCACCAGATTATTGTTCTACATCTCACTGACTACCACTGTGGTGATTTTCATGTTGATCTACTGTTTTATTATTTAATAATTACCTGCCAAAATCCTATACTGTATACCTTGTTATACAGCAATATTTCATAAATTCATAAACATTTGAAATCAAATTGTTTTCTGCAAATTCCACCAGATTATTGTTCTACATCTCACTGTCTACCACTGTGGTGATTTTCATGTTGTTTTACTGTTTTATTCTTTAATAATTGTCAGCCAAACTCATGAATATTTACATTGCTATACAGCAATATTTAATAAATGAATAAAAAATCGAAATCAAATTGTTTTCTGCAAATTCCACCAGATTATTGTTCTACATCTCACTGACTACCACTGTGGTGATTTTCATGTTGATCTACTGTTTATTATTTAATAATTGCCTGTCAAAGTCCCATACTGTATACCTTGTTATACAGCAATATTTCATAAATTCATAAAAAAAGAAAAAAGAAAAATTAGTTTTCTGCCATTTCCACCAGATTATTGTTCTACATCTCACTGTCTACCACTGTGGTGATTTTCATGTTGTTTTACTGTTTTATTATTTAATAATTAACTGCCAAAGTCCTATACTGTATACCTTGTTATAAAGCAATATTTAATAAATTCATAGAAATTTTAAATTAAATTGTTTTCTGAAAATTCCACCAGATTATTGTTCTACGTCTCACTGTCTACCACTGTGGTGATTTTCATGTTGATCTACTGTTTTATTATTTAATAATTGCCTGTCAAAGTCCTATACTGCATACCTTGTTATACAGCAATATTTGATAAATTCATAAAAAAAAAAAAAAAATTGTTTTCTGCCATTTCCACCATATTATTGTTCTACATCTCACTGTCTACCACTGTGGTGATTTTCATGTTGTTTTACTGTTTTATTATTTAATAATTACCTGCCAAAATCCTATACTGTATACCTTGTTATACAGCAATATTTAATAAATTCATAAAAAATGCTAATCAAATTGTTTTCTGCAAACTCCACCAGATTATTGTTCTACATCTCACTGTCTACCACTGTGGTGATTTTCATGTTGTTTTACTGTTTTATTCTTTAATAATTGTCTGCCAAACACATGAATATTTACATTGCTATACAGCTATATTTTATAAATGAATAAAAAATCGAAATCAAATTGTTTTCTGCAAATTCCACCAGATTATTGTTCTTCATCTCACTGACTACCACTGTGGTTATTTTCATATTGATCTACTGTTTAATTATTTAATAATTAACTGTCAAAGTCCTGTACTGTATACCTTGTTATACAGCAATATTTAATAAATTCATAAAAAAATCAAATCAAATTGTTTTCTGCAAATTCCACCAGATTATTGTTCTACATCTCACTGTCTACCACTGTGGTGATTTTCATGTTGATCTACTGTTTTATTCTTTAATAGTTGTCTGTCAAAGTCCTGTACTGTATACCTTGTTATACAGCAATATTTAATAAATTCATAAACATTTGAAATCAAATTGTTTTCTGCAAATTCCACCAGATTATTGTTCTTCATCTTACTGACTACCACTGTGGTGATTTTCATGTTGATCTACTGTTTTATTATTTAATAATTGTCTGTCAAAGTCCTGTACTGTATACCTTGTTATACAGCAATATTTAATAAATTCATAAAAAATGCAAATCAAATTGTTTTCTGCAAACTCCACCAGATTATTGTTCTACATCTCACTGTCTACCACTGTGGTGATTTTCATGTTGTTTTACTGTTTTATTATTTAAAAATTAACTGCCAAATAATAATAATAAATAATTATTCATATCCCCAAAAACAAAGCATAAACATATAGATAGATGGGAAGTACAAAAAAGAAGGTATTTCATTTATATATTAAGAAATGTATTTAAGTTGGCTTGAGAAAGCCAAGCTACTGAAATCCTATTTAAACGTATTATTATTATAAATTACGTACTTATACTTTTTAATATGAATTTATCAAATATGCCTATATGTCAAGGTATACAGTATAGGACTTTGGCAGTTAATTATTAAATAATAAAACAGTAGATCAACATGAAAATCACCACAGTGGTAGTCAGTGAGATGTAGAACAATAATCTGGTGGAAATGGCAGAAAACAATTTTATTTAAACATTTTATGAATTTATGAAATATTGCTGTATAACAAGGTATACAGTATAGGACTTTGACAGCCAAATATTAAATAATAAAACAGTAGATCAACATGAAAATCACCAGAGTGGTAGTCAGTGAGATGAAGAACAATAATCTGGTGGAATTTGCAGAAAACAATTTGATTTAAAAATTTTATGAATTTATTAAATATTGCTTTATAACAAGGTATACAGTACAGGACTTTGACAGACAATTATTAAATAATAAAACAGTAGATCAACATGAAAATCACCAAAGTGGTAGTCAGTGAGATGTAGAACAATAATCTGGCGGAATTGGCAGAAAACAATTTGATTTGATTTTTTTATGAATTTATTAAATATTGCTTTATAACAAGGTATACAGTACAGGACTTTGACAGACAATTATTAAATAATAAAACAGTAGATCAACATGAAAATCACCACAGTGGTAGTCAGTGAGATGAAGAACAATTATCTGGTGGAATTTGCAGAAAACAATTTGATTTGCATTTTTTATGAATTTATTAAATATTGCTTTATAACAAGGTATACAGTACAGGACTTTGACAGACAATTATTAAATAATAAAACAGTAGATCAACATGAAAATCACCACAGTGGTAGACAGTGAGACGTAGAACAATTATCTGGTGGAATTTGCAGAAAACAATTTGATTTGCATTTTTTATGAATTTATTAAATATTGCTTTATAACAAGGTATACAGTATAGG